CATCTTATTTGTCTCTTGAGAAACCTGTATGCGGGTCAAGAAGCAACAGTGAAAACTGGACATGGAACCACTGATGGGTTCAAAACTGGGAAAGGAGTTTGGCAAGGTTGTATATTGTCGCCCTGCCTGTTTAACTTATATGCAGAGCATATCATGAGAAAGGCAGGGCTAGATGAATCACAAGTTGGAATTAAGGAGAAATATCAACAACCTCAGATATGCAGATGATACCACTCTCATGGAAGAAAGTGAAGAGGAACTAAAGAGTCTCTTGATGCGGGTGAAGGAGAGTGCAAAAGTTGGCTTGAAACTCAACATTAAGAAAACTAAGATTATGGCATCCGGTCCTATCACTTCCTGGCAAACAGAAAGAGAAGAAATGGACGTAGTGATAGATTTTATTTTCCTGGGCTCCAAGATCACCACAGATGGTGCCTGCAGCCAAGAGATTAAAGGACACTTGCTCCTTGGGAGGAAAGCTATCCTCTTTGAAGGAAGTACAGAGGCTGTGTACCTGGAGGAGGGTCTTCTCCGCAGTGGCACCCAGACTATGGAATGCGCTCCTCAGAGAGCTCCGCGTGGCGCCGACGTTATACTCCTTCCGGCGCCAGGTAAAGATCTTTTTATATAACCATAATTTTCATAATCAAGGGTTTTAGATTTTTTCCCTTCCCACAGTCGCATTTTCTATTCTTTTCCTCTCTTTTCTTTTTCTTAGTTTATGATATGTAGTTTTATATTGTTTTGATCATTGTGGTTTTATTATTGCAATTTTATATTATGTAAGCCATCCTGAGTGCTTGTCAGAAGGACAGGATATAAATGTTTGTAATAAATAATGAATAAATAAATAAATAAATCTAGACAGCATAGTAAAAAGCAGAGACATCACCCTGCCGACAAAAGTGCGTAAAGTCAAGGCTACGGTTTTCCCAGTTGCAAAACTGTGGTGCTGAAGAAGACTCCTGTGAGTCCCTTGGACTGCAAGGCGATCAAACCAGTCAGTCCGAGAGGAGATCAACCCTGACTACACTTTAGAAGGCCAGATACCGAAGATGAAACTCAACTACTTTGGTCACCTAATGAGAAGGACTCAATGGAGAAGACCCTGATGCTGGGAACAATTGACAGCAAAAGAAGAAGGGGACAGCAGAGGAGGAGGTGGCTGGATGGAGTCACTGAAGCAGTTGGCGTGAGCTTAGGTGGACTCCAGGGGATGGTGGAGGGCGGGAAGGCCTGGAGGAGTGTTGTCCATGGGGTCACGATGGGTCGGACGTGACTTCGTGACTAGCATAGCATATAGTTTTTTAAATATGCTGTTGTGAACTGCCCAGAGAACTTTGGTGGTTGGGAGGTATAGAAATTAAACCAATCAATCAATCTGTGGGACGGTATTCAACCTTCTGGAGTTGAGCATCCAAGAAGAGGCAAATCTCTACAATGCAGAACACCCTCCCAGCACACACATCAAACGATTGTTCCAGAAGGATAGTATGGGTGATGGAATGAAAAGCATCAAAAGCTACTGAAAGATTGAAGAGAAGCAAGACGGTCACACTCCTCCATCTCACTCCTGGCCCAGATCATCATACGGAGCAACCAAAGCGGCTTCTGTGCCAAACCCCAGCCTGAAATGGATCCCAATATTCAGGCTCGTTAAGGAGCATTTGGAGCTGGACAGCAACCATCTGTGCAAGGAACTTGCCCAAAAGCAACTCTCATATGCCAGTCTAAATTTACAAAGATTTTCCAGGGACACAGAGGGTCTCTTCCGGATTGACCTCGCCACCACCTCTTTTCTGTCAGGTGGCCCGGGACCCGACCTGCTCGCACAAGGGCCTTCATCCCTCCCCACCATGTTATGAGCCTCAAGAGCCAAGGATCCTGTGCAGAAACGGCTGAATGAACCTGCCCAGGTTATCTTGCCAGCGCCCTTGAGCTGAAACGCATCCAAGGGAACTGGACTGGGCGGTGCGCTGGGTATCCCAGCTGATCCACCTGCAGAAACTTGGTGTCGATGTCCTGGCGCATGCAAGAGATTTCATCCTGGAGGTGCCAAGCAAATGTGTTCCCCAGCCCCCGGGAGGATTGGATCAACCCTGTCCAGAGGGCCAGCATTTGATCAGCCCCCGACAGGCCCGCAAAGGCCTCCTGTGGGCACACGAACCATTCAGAGGGGCCATGAGATGGAGCTTTGCTGCTGCCCCTGCGTGTTGGGGCTCAATTGCAATGCAAAACCTCTCGCCTGTTTTTCAGGGCCCCCCTTTGCCTACAGGCCTGCCTGCACCGAACAAGAGGGACATGTTTTTCCTTCTAGAGATGGGGGAGGATACATTTTTCCTGAGATAAATCCTGGGGGGTAACACACGCCCCCCTTTTTCCCTTACAGAGACGTGGGGCTGGGGAAAACATACCTTTTCCCCAAGATAAACGGGGGAGCAGGGAAACACACGCACCCTCCCAGGGACAAAAAGCGGGCTCCTATTTTCCAGGGAGAAAAGCACTCAGCCCTTTTACCCTGGAGGGGCATTTCTGCCCCCCCAGAGATAACCTCTGGGAGAGGGAGACATACCTTCTGAGATAAGGAGTGGAAGAAAGCCCCCATTTCCCGTGGGGGGAACACGCGGCCCCCTGAGAGACTTATGGGGCGGGCGCCCCTCCCCCTTTCCGGGGGGGGCACCGTTTCCTGTGGAAATTTGTGGGGCTTCCTGAGAGGGCAACCTGTGGGGAGCGGCCCCCGTCCCCTCGGGGGAGGCTGGCGGGGGCCAAGCCACCGGCCGTCCCTCACCCCACGGGGCCGGGCCTGAGGAGAGCGGGCCCCGCAGCCATCCGCCCGCTCGCCCGCCCACCAGGCTCCGCGCCCACCCCGGGCCCGCCTCCGCGCCGTCCCCGCCCGCCCTCCCTCCCGCGAGCGGCCGCTGCCGCCTCGTCCCGTCAAAGCAGCCCGCCGGCTCCCGCGCCGCCTCGCCGCCGCCAGCCGGTCCGGAGCGGCCTGCCCTGGAAGCGGCGGCGCCCCCCGCCCGGCCCCGGCCCCGGCCCCGGCCCCGGCCCGCAGAGAGGTAGACGGACGGGCGGGGACGCCTCCGGCCTAGCCGCGGTGCCCACGCCCCGGCCTCGCGTTGCCGTGGCTCCGCGGAAGGGCGCGCCAGGCGGGGGCGGCGCGGGGGCGGGCTGGACGGAGCCGGGCCGTGTGAAGGGAGGCTCCGGGCAAGGCAAATGTCATTTCCCCCTTTTCCCCCAGCGCCGGCCCATGGGAGGGCCTGGAGTGGTGCTTTCATCGGGTCGGTGAGGCTGCGGAAGGCGCCGCGAATGTGGCATCGCTAGTCGGAGGAGAGGGAAGGCGAGGCTGGGTCTGTGGGGTGCATCCATAACACATGAAAGGAGACGCATCGGGGAGGCATTTGGGGGCTTTGCAATGCCTCCGAGCACCTGCTCTGGCGAGGGGGCAGGAGCGATGGAGAAAGGCGCCCCGCTCGCCTTCGCGCCTCCTCGGGGTAACGGGGGAAACGGTGAATCGGTGTGGTGCGTGGGCGCCGGATCCGGACCCTGGAGGTCTGGGTCCAAGGCCCCTCGCTGCCAAGAGGCTCGCTGGGGACTTTGGGCCAGTTGCGGGCTCTCAGCCTGTACTACCTCGCTGGGTTGTTGTGAGGGCAACATGGAGAAGAGGAGGGTCATGGGTTCCCAGCCTCACCTACCTCTCGGGGTTGTTGTGAGGACGGGATTCTGATGAGGATGATCACATAAGCTTTCTTAGCTTCTTTGCAGGTAAAAGGCATGGTATAGCTATAGTAAATCCTTAAAGAATGCTTAAATCTATGAAGTTGCTAAAAAGATAAAACTTTAAATAACGCTTATACATTGAATACACTATTGATTGTCATTTTGCTTGCTTGTTTTTGAAGTAAGCTTAAGGATAATGAAAATTTTGTAGGCGAGGGGCTTTGCATCCAACCTACTGCCTTCCAGATGGTTTGTACTGTGACTTCCATCAGCCCCAGCTAACATTGGCCCACAGTCAGGCATCCTGGAAATGGTACTGGAAGACATCTGGTGGGCAGCGGGTTGCTCCACACCATTCCTTTAGGGGAGCATTGTTATGATGCTTCAAATTTAGGGGCGGGCAGGCAACTCTGCGCCTGCTTTCATCAACTTCACTGGGGAGCAGAATTTTTAGACAAACCTGCTGCCTTCTCTACTGCACCGAGCTTCATGTCACCACTTTGAAAATTTTGAGACTAGGTCTGTGGGAATGTTTTCCTTTCTGGGAGACTGCTTGTTGTTTTGGTCTGCCTTGATGCTAAACAAGTCACTCCTTCAGGGCTGGGTTTGTCTCAAAGTCCCAGTCCTTTAGCATGGGTTAGTTATTGCTTAATGTTCTTCTGCTCTCTTTTTTCGTACAGTGTAATCTGACATTAAATCAAACATTTCCTCATCTCCTGCATGTATATTGGAGCTAATGTATGTTAGTGATTGACTGGATGGAACCAGTTGGTGATCATTCTGGATTAATTGATCTGGAATGTGAAAGGTGGGATTGCCTTTTATAAAAGCATGTTCTCATGGATACCTTTTTAGTCTGCCATGGCAAAAAGAATACATGGTGGTGAAAGGGTTGATTTGGTATAAATAATTATCCAGGTGGGTATATGACAGCTGAGACTTCATGATGTATGTGTGTGTGGGGAGGGAGGATGTTTGTTAATTCAGGCAATGATGCCAGGATGGCTTGTAAAATGTGCATTTTAGGTGGCAATGGAGAGTTTGTATCAAAGTAGAGCCATCTTTGCCTCAAAAGCTCAGGCAGATATGAGGTGACTTTCTGGGACTGTACATGTGTACTTTAGCTCATTTAGAAATTAGTTTTTGGACAAGCTGAGAAAACCACAACTTTATAATGTGTTTGCAAGCTTTCTTTCAAATTAGGTGATGAAAACTGTCACAAAGGGTATGTGTGTCTGGTGCAGGGAAGGGGTGTATGCTAATTTAACCAAATGACATGTCATTAATAAAATGAAGAGTCCCCTCCCTCAGTTTCTGAAGATAAAATCTTGCTCTATTGATGATGTGCAAAGCACCACCAAAGATGGAAGCAAGAGTAAACACAGAACTTCTCAGCAATTTTGCAAGCTTGTAATAATACAGAGATGCAGGCCATTGCACTTTCAGGGTTTCCAGGTTGTTAGAAAAAGTAGCATTGTTATTCTGCTCCCAAACTTTGCCAGGGCCTCTAGTTGGATTGAACTCTGCCAGTTACAATATTGTGAGGCTTTTGCCCCAAACAGACTCCAGCAGCAAAACAGTGGTCCTTAAATGCTGTACTGAAAAGGAATTGGAGCCCTCCCTGTCTGTTCACAGTGGCAAGGAAGGAAAAATGCTGGGGCTGGGGCAGAAATGGAGACTGCCATGATGCAGCAACAGCAGCTGCTGGGGAAAAATGATGAGTAATGCTTCATCCTGGTCCAGGGAAGGACAGCCAGCTGCTCAGTCTTGCATGCCGGCTCAGAGGCTTTGTTTCTGCCTGTACCGGGGATAATCATCGTGTCCTTTTTGTACTAGCTTGGAAATGTCACCAAAAGCATTTTCTTTGGTTTATGTAGCAAGACCTGAAGGAGGATCTCTCCTTGCTTGTGTAAGCCTATTAGAACAGCGTGTATTCAAATCTCAGAGAGGTAACTGGAATGTTCCTAGGAAGCACTTTGAAGGGGGGGGGCACACATCTGTCTCCCTGGTATATGTCTGGCTGCTTATGGCAGGGCGCCTCCTGCACCCATCCCTCGTCAAGGGGGCAGTGGGTTCAGAATTGGTGTCACTTAGGGAGTTTGCCTTGCCAGTGGATTTCCGGGTCATGAGAAGAAATAGTTCTGCTTTATTCTTCACTCAACTTGATTTGGAGTATAAGTTGAATTCAGTATAATTTTTCAAGTTAAAATTCAGTTCTGGATTTTAAGAAAGATTGGAATGAGTTCAGAGAAGAACAAGATGGTTGCAGGGTCTGACAAACCAGTTCTCTGAAGATCGTTTGGGAAAGTGTGGCTTACGCTGTAGCATGGGAGATTGCCGAGACATACTCCCTGCTGTGGAAAACTGGGTTTTTTCAGAAGCTTTCATTCCAGAGATGAGGATATTATATATGTGTCTCCCTAAATCACTCACGACTTTTCCACACCTCACAATGACTGGGTTTGGGCAATATACCATGTTGGCTTATAAGCTAGGGGTGGTTTGTTGTGTTCTGAACCCAGCAGAATGGTTTGTGACTTTCTGGCTGGCTTCAAACAACATGATAAGCTTCATGTTGATGGTTTATAAGCCATCATGGCTTATTGAGTTGTGTGAACCCAGTTGGCAGCTTCATAAAATGTGTACCACACTGTCTTTTGAGCCGCAGCTCATAACTTGTGCAATGACATCTGTTCACTTGGGGTGCCCTTGTGACGATCCATGGCAAGGCATCATGCCTCCAACACTAAATTCGTGTGATGGCTTCCCTTCCTGTGATCTGAAGTCAAGGTTATGTGAAACTCAGGCCATATTGATACCTGGGCAATTTCATATTGTAGTACGTCAGGCTTGTCCTTTTATGACAAGGCAGTGCCTGAGGTCTGCTATCTCCAGTTTTAGACCTGGATGGCCGATCAAAATGGACTCAAGCACAGACTTTTTGTACTGTCTCTCTCTCTCTACATGACTGAACCAAGGTGCAAAATGGCTGACTTGAGAGACTTCTGTCCTCACCTGGATTCCATAGGTGAAGTCACCAAGGATGACTTGCTTCACAAATCCAAGGTAAACAAACCCTTGTTTGCCATAAAACCATCCTCCCCTTGGCCATGTGTGTGCATTTTCCCTGGGGCGAGGACCTGGCTGCCTAATTCCATAGTAATACAGTAGCACAAGGCCAGCTATGACAGTGATTGTATTTTTAAATTTTCAAATTTACATGCTATTGTTAAAGCATTAGGCATTGGAAAACCTTTCCAAGTGATCTGCTAATACACCCTAATTTTCCTCCTGTTCACCCTTGCCAAGCTTCTGGAGCTTATACCTATGAGGAAAAGTCAGATATTGGAAAATTTGTCTATCTCTGAGGACTTACTCTTTTCCCCTCCTTGTGAACACAGGGAACATGCCAGTCTTGTGGAGCAGGGGGACCAAACCTATGGGCCTGCCTTCAGGTAAAGAAATGGCTTGAATATCTATCCTCCTGTATATTTATTTAGTTACTTATTTAATTTAAGATATTTTTACCTCATCCTACATGGAAATCGTCCCAGGACGGCTTACAATAATAAGAACAATAACTAAACAACATATATAATAACAAAAAACAAAATGTGACTGTAAATATATTAAAACCAAGTTAAAATTCCTCAATCCTTAAAATAATGGGTAAATAAAAAGGTTTTGCCTGGCGCCGAAAAGACTATAGAGTCGGCAGGCGCCAGGCGAATGTCTCTGGGGAGGCGCCTTCCACAGTCGGGGCAGAGAAGTCCATAAGAGCCGTGTGGTCTCTAATGTTCGAAATTAGTTCGTGGTGAGGTGCTGAACTACTCCAGGTAGACTTCCAGGTTTGGGGGCGTGACACCCGGATACGTTGGGCTCATCCTGTGCATGCATACGTGCGCACCCTGTCTTCCCTTAAGCCACGGGTCTGCTCTGTCTCTTTCTCTCTAGGTCGGCTGCCCTTACGTTGGGTGTGGGGAATCCTTTGCCGACCACAGCACCCTTCATGCACAGGTGAGGGAAATCTGTCCAGAAGCAAGAGGCGGTTGACTCTCAGAGCGGCTTGAATATGAGAGGCCCTCCAGCCTACAGATTAAAATGGCAGACTGGAGCAGGGAAGGGGTGTGAAGGGAGCTGAGATTTTTGAGGCCAGAACAAGAGCACCAAATGAGCATTTCAGTGCACCGGGCGAGGCCGGTCTTCCCTTGTCTCTGTTGCCACGTGAAGAGCCCTGGCAGTAGGCAGACGCGGCTCGCTGGTTCTTTCCCTGCTCTGCAGTCCAACAGGACGAGTGTTCGCTGGAGAGCGCAGACCTTCTTCACGTCAGGGAGTGGGACGTGAGCCTCCTCCATCGGCTCCTTCTTTGGTGATGGAGGGGCCAGGTTGGTCCTTCCTGGGAGGCAGGGGGTGCAGCCTCCCCATGGCCCTTGCCCCTCTGGCTGATGGCCAGAGCCGGAGGGCGCTTGCCTTCTGCTGGCCTGTCCCAGGCTGCTCCAAGTGCAATGGCTGAGTCTGCATGCTAAAATTTCTGTCTTCCCCTGGGAAGCAAAACTGCCATTTTTGCTTGGTACACAGGAGGTTTTCTTTCATGGTATTTAAGATTGCTTGGATCTTGCCTTTTAACATCCTGAGTTCTTGGAAAAGATGAATCAGAAGCATTAACTGCTCTTTTCTTGTTCTGTTTCTTGGTGTTTCTTAAACATACTAGGCCAAAAAGCACAATCTGACAGTGAACCTGACGACATTCCGAGTGTGGTGCTACGCCTGTGAGAAGGAGGTTTTCTTGGACCAGCGGCTGGCCTCCCACCCACCAGCCCCAGTCTCAAAATTAATGGAACAGGTGGTTGCCTTGTACCCTCGCTGGGCTGCTGCTTTGGCCTGAGTGGGTCCACCCAGGGACCCGGTTGAAAGCGAGGGAGGGGCAAAGCAGGGGCTCTGCCAGCTTGGCCCCAAGGGAATGCCACACCAATTGCCACTGCTGTCAATAAAAACGGATGTGGTCAGGGACAAGCCAGAGGGGGAGGACCAGGAGGACAAACAGAGGGGCAGGTACGTTGAGGCCGCCCAGATGCAGCAGCCGAACCACAGCTGGCAGGAAGACTTGCATCGCTGAGGCGTCATGGCAAGGGCCAGGCAAGGTGCGAGGAAGAAGAGCTCTGTCGCTGAGGGAGGAGCCGGCTCTCACGTAGCTCTGTCCTTGGGGCTCCCAGCTGGCACTCGGCAGGCAGCTGAGAGCTCCTGCAGGGCCTGGGCTGCTCCTGCGAATGCCGAGTGGGCCGTTCTGCCTCCGGCTACCAGGTGGCGCCCCAGAGGAGCTCAGAGCCTTGCTGGGCCAGAACAGAAGCCTGTCTAGTCCAGCATTTGTTCCCACGGTGGCCACCTCCCTGTCCCAACAGGAAGCCCACCCCCACGGTATGGACTCCACGGCACCCTCCTGCCCATGTTCCCCAGCAACTTTACTCAGGCCTGTTGCCTCTCTGATACTGGAGGCATTGCATAGCCCTCATGACTGATAGTAGCTGACGGCCTCTATCCCGCACAAGGGAGTCTTTTGAAACATCCAGGTTGGTCAGCACAGCCACCTCCCGTGGTCGCAATTTCCGTATTTTATCTGCGTGCTCTGGGAGGAGGTGAACCCTTCCCTCTGCCCTGCCCATCCACCATTCAGCTGCACTGGATCTGATTTCTAGTATGACAAGGGCTGGAGAAACCTCTTCCTGTCCACTTTCTTCAGCCATGTATAATTTAATACACTTACCATGTGTCCTTTTAAAAAGCCGAACAGCTCCAAATGCTGTGCCTTTTATTTTTTTGCTCCTTGAACGTTTTGGTTGCCTGCTTCAACACCATTTGCATCTTTAACATAGCCTCGGCAAGCCGCAGCGACAGTTTTCAGTCTGAATTCTTTTGGGTAGTTCTGTCCTGCTTCCAACTGACAGGCGCTACATCACTCAAGTCCACTGTTAGAGGGAGTGTCAGCAGCTACTGCTGTTGCCTGTGACTTGCAGCTCGCTTTTATTTTTCCTTCACACAAACCACCATTGGCATCTGATGTTCATTCAATTGCCTTTGCTTCCAGGACTCTCCTCTGCCGGTCCATCCTCTCAAAGCTGTTCCAATTGCAGTGGCTGATGAAGGGGAGTCAGAGTCAGAGGATGATGACCTTAAACCGAGAGGTATGCTGCTTGGGCACTGAGCTGGGAAATACTCTCCCCTTGAGTGCAAAATTGTAGAAGTGCGGATAGTGAGTGACACAGTTCCCATTTCTCCTGTTTCCTCCTTCCCTAGGCCTTACAGGAATGAAAAATCTTGGGAACTCTTGTTACATGAATGCTGCTCTTCAGGCCCTCTCTAACTGGTATGTTATAGAGCTGTCACTGGAGCAGGAGGGGGCCACCTGTGTCCATGATGTATACATGCCCACCCTCAATAGCTTACGATTGAAAATTTGACTTAAGGGGAATGCAGGAAGAGCAAGGCAACACAGCAAGCAGACTTCTACCCAGTTAGAATTTTCATCAATCGGTCTGGACTAGTGTTAGTGACACAGACTGGCAGCCACAGTTCTTCATGGATTCAGACAGTAGTTTTTTCAGCCTGAGATACTTGAAGGGGATGACACCTGAGACCTTGTGCCTGCAAAGCACAGGCTCTACTATTGAGCTGTAGCAGTTCTGCCTGAAAGTGAAGTATTATTCTAGTTCTCGTGGCTCTGAAAAATGGGGCGCTTCAAGGTGGATGAACAGAAGGAGCCTTTTGCTTTACGTCTAGTCCAGCATTGTCGGCACTGACTGGCAGCAGGGACTTACCACATGTTCAGCCAGGATTCCCGCTTTGTCCTAAGTGGAGATGCTGGGGGTCGGACTTGGGTCGCTCTGCACGAAGCGGGTTCTCTGCCACTGAGTCCTTTGCTTTGGGAGCGTGGCGGCGAGCTGAAGGAGGCGCACCATGAGCAGTTGCTTGAGCTGAGTATGAAGGGCCCCCTCTCAGTATTCAGCCATGTGCTTTGCATACAGAAGGCCCTGTGTTCAATCCCAGGCATGTCTCAGTGAGGCCTGCGAAGGTTGGGAGAGATCCTTGGTTCCTGTCCCCTGAGTTTGAGTGAGGCAGGATTGGCAGGTTGGGACAGTCCAGGGCCATTTTCACCTCCAGCACTTCCCTCTGGAGCTCCAAACAAGGAAAAGGGCATCTGGACTGGCCATGGAACACTAGAAGGATCAACATTAGCTCGTTTTCAGGTCAAGACTTGGTAATCCAAGGTAGCTGTGGAGCACAGAAAAGGTTGAAAAGGCTTCAAAACGGCTGCCTGGGATGCTATTTTGATTAAAGCTCTGTCACACAAATCCATGCCACCAATTTTGGGGTGCAGCTGAGGCCACGGTCAGAGCTATATGCAGCCCATGGGTGCTACATTGCCCCCCCCCCCCCCCGAAGAAGGGCAGGCAAGGTGCCTCCTCTCTTTCTCTCCCCTCCCCTCCCAGCTTTTTATAGCCGTAATCTGAAAGAATGTGTTGAACATGTGCTACATACGGACGTTCAAATGGGTATTAAGATTTCTTAAGAATGTAGTTAGAGGACTTGGCCTGTGGGTGCCATGTTTTAGTTACAAAATGTTGGCGGAGTGGGCAAAATTGGTTCTGGAAAGCTGTTCTGGCGGACAAATGTTGATTCCTGAGGCAGGGCCTTTGTGGACAGTCTGGCATTCTGAGGGCATCTGGGGGCTCCTCTTACACAACGGCTTATGGTGCGGGTGACACTCTCCTAAAAAGCCTACCATGGTGGCTGCCGCTGGCCACAAAACAGCCATTTCCCAGAAGACAAACTGGTGGAGCTAAAGGGTTACACGCCCAAGAACCCGAGTTCCAGGCAGAGGCAGGGTCTGACCTTCCAGGCATAAACTTATTCTTTTGAACTCAGTGCAAGATGTTACTGGAGGCAGAACCTCAGTCAAAAAAGTGTTTTATAAAATAAGAGCCAGGAGAGGCAGAGAGCCTGGTGAGTTCCATGCTGTTTTGTGAGAACATGATTTCATATTACTGCATTTTTCTGGAAGATATTTCCATTTTCTCCTTTTTTTTCTGTGTCTAAGCACAATTGCTGGGAAATGCCTCACTGGCCTCTCTTTACCTGCCCTTTAGCCCCCCACTCACACAGTTCTTTCTGGAATGTGGCGGACTTGTGCGCACAGACAAGAAACCCGCACTCTGCAAAAGTTACCAGAAGTTAATTTCTGAAGTGTGGCATAAGAAGCGGTGAGTACAGAGAATCTATTTCCAAACTTTTAACAGGTTTTGGAACTGAGGCTTGTTCTAAGACATAAGACAGGGTTCTCCCCCAGTTGTTGATGGATGAAGGAAGCTGGTCAGCTCCTCGAATGATTGTTAAAGTCAAACAGTCTGGCCTAAGTTGATAGTAATGTAAACTGGCATTGTTTACATACCATGCTATGTTGTGAGTTTTTGTGACTTGCAGTTTTGCACTGACCAGACGCAGTGGGACTTAGTTCTGAGTAAATGCTTGTAAGATGGAGCTAAAGGTAATCAGTGGCTTCTGTCCTGTGTAGAGCAAAGGAAAGGAGGAGGTGTGTTGCTGTTCTGACACCTGGGGGCACACTCTGGGCCAGCCTTTCCCAGCCCGGAGCCCTCCAGCTGTTTAGGACTGCTTCTTCGGGAGTGTGTGACCATTGGCCATGCTGGCCAAAGCAGACTGCAGGTGAAGTCCAACGCATCTGGAGGACACTGGTCCAGGGAAGGCGGCACCGGCTTGTGGCCACGGTGGTTGGGCACTTGGCGAGCCTTGAAGGGACTGAGTGGCTGGAGATCTGAAGGGCAGAAGCCATGGGCGGGGGGAGGCTCACGTGCCTGGAGAGGCCTCCTTCCTCCCTGTGTCCAAAAGGGAGAAAAGGCCTCGGACTGTGTTGTGTGGACAGAACATAGAGATGCATGTTGCGCCTGCTAAAGGATGGGCTTGGGCTGGTGCCACACTTGCCCGGGGCTGTCATTGCCAGCCGTCTTTTGAACCGCGTGTCTTCTGACCATCTTAAAGTAGATTTTCCTTTTTTACCTTAGTTTTATTCCCCACCCACTTTTTAACCAGCCCCAGCTACGTGGTCCCAAGCAGCCTGTCCCATGGAATCAAGTTGGTGAACCCGATGTTCCGCGGCTACGCACAACAGGTGAGCCAGCGTGCAAGCAGCCTTCTCTGCGTTGTCAGGATCATGGACTCATAGGATGGTGGAGCTGGAAGTGGTAGGCAAGGTCCTCAGGTCCAGCCCCCAGCTGCCATGGGAGTATTTCAACCTCCAAGGCATGCTGAGCTAAAAACGGCATGTTTTGAGTCTTTGAGGGAGCCGTGGCTGGGCGCTGATGAATGACGTGCATCCGCTCAGCCACTTACCCTTTTATTAGAAGAGACGAGGCAAATGTGCCGGCTCTGTTTCTGTTCCTGGGGACTGCGGACGCCCTGACGCTCACAGGCACTGCAGTTGGTTCCCCCAGGATCCCTGCCCTTCCCGATATTCACTTTAAGATTTTTCCACCGTCTCTTTGTAATGGGGTGGGGCACACCCTCCACTGCTATCTGCGTTTGGGTTCAAAGGACTTGGGGTTCTTGTGCTTCTGCCTTTGAACTTCTGGATTTGAGTTCAAGGGCAATTTCCTTTTTTCCCGTCTCACTAGTTAACCTCTGGGGAAATGAGTCTTCTGTGACTGGCCGTGCCCACCATGCCAGCCGTGTTTTGACTAGGCTGCCCCCATGGCGGCCATTCTTTGCATAGGCTGCAAAACACCATCCAAATTCTAGAGGTGCCCACTGACCGTACATGTTTGGGGACCCAGACTTCCAGTCTTCTAGTCTTCTATTAGCAGATCCTGAAGAAAATAACTTGGAAGGGAGCCAATGGGCCTTGCGTTTCTGCAGCGATCACCCCTCTCTTTTCGCCATCCCAGGACACGCAAGAATTCCTGCGCTGCCTGATGGACCAGCTCCATGAAGAGTTGAAGGAGCCAGTGGTTGCTGAGATGCGGGACTCTGACTCCAGCGACACGGATGACAAGAGGGAAGGCGACCGCAGCCCTTCAGAGGACGAGTTTCTCTCGTGTGACTCAAGCAGCGACCGGGGTGAAGGAGATGGGCAAAGCAAAACCGGCAGCTCCCTTGCGGAAGCCGAGCTCCTGATCCAGGATGAGGCTGGGCGAGGGATCTCTGAGAAGGAGAGGATGAAGGACCGCAAGTTCTCCTGCAGCCATCGGCGGAGCAACTCTGAGCAAGTGGACGAAGATGCGGACGTCGATACCTCTGTGATGGCCGTGGACGGCAGGGCTTCCCCAGAAGCGCCGCCCCCTCCTGCTCCTCACCCAGCCAGCCCCTCCAGGACCCCAGGTGCCTTGCCACCCCTTCGGCCAAACTCAGTGGGCTGCATCCCCCCCCCACGCTTCTGCTGCCTTTTACGCTGGGTTAAATGTTTTTGAATGAATATTTATTTATTTATTTATTTATTTGAAACATTTCTATGCTGCCCCATTCGCCGAAGCCCCGGGGCGGCTCACAACATAAAATTAAAATGTAATATATCCAAATATACAACAAATTATCTGGGGTCTCCAGTGCAGTGTCCATGGGAACCACCGTGCCTGGGGACACTTCTCTTCGAGCCCCACAAGCTCCCTGGCCTTCCTGAGCTCGATTGTTCACACGTAGCTTCCACTGGGCGGCCGCCACACTGCCTGGTGGGCTGGAAAGCCAAGCGCTCCCCTCCAGTGCCGTCGCTGCTGCGGTTCGAAGAGCGGCCACGGCTTGCAGCTTGGACCCCACCTCTGCCTTCGACTTTGGTTTTGGGCACGTTACTTTTTGTTTAGTCTCGTGAAGTCCGCCTCCTAGGAAGTGAGCGTGTGACCTGCTGTGCTCACTCTGGCAGTCCTTTCATGAGAGCCCCTGTGACACTCCCCAAATCCCAAATTTATTTCAACCTAGAGAAAGATGGAGGGGGCAGAGCTCCTCTTTGCAGCATGCCAGCCTCCTTTTTGAAAAGAGGGGGAAATGAAGCAAATTGGAACAACAGCGCCAGGAGGACAGGTGACCTGGGAGGCACAACGGGAAGTGTCAAGGGCAGCACCTTGGGGTCCCCTGCTGTAACTGACGGGGGCACAAACAGCTCTCCAGGAATTCCTCCTGTGCAGGGCCGGTTGAGCTGGGCCAGGCTCATGCCAGGGCACTGCTTTAGGAACACTGGGTCAGAGCAAGGGGCCGGCTAGTTCAGCGGCTGACGAGTTTCCTGCTGGAAACCCCAGAGCAGAGAGAGAAGGCAGCAGCCCTCCCCGCTCCCCCCAGCCCAAGAGCACACAGGGCCTAACCCTGGCGCATCTTGATGCAGCTCCTTTCCAGGAATGTCTCTGATCCAGCCTTCCCAAGCCGCTGCTCTCCCCACAGATGTGTCACCCTACAATTCCAAGGCAAGCTGACTGGGAATGATGGGGATTGCAGCACCGGGTTGGGAAGGCTGATTTGATCCCTCTTTATGGCCTTCCCAGATCACAGAGAGATGCACTGTGGTCGCAACAGACCTGCAAGGAAGTGGTTGCACTGAATGGTCAAAACATGGGAAAAAATGTTTTGCACAAGCCATACTATTTGCCCTTTTCCAAGCTCTGTGTGTGGTGCTCAAGGCCACTCGCAGCGCATCCAGAAACAGCTAAAACAGCACCAAAGATTGGAGCGGGACAGCCAGAGAGAAGGGCTTGCCAGGAAGAGCCGTCGCTCGAGGCTGCCTCACAAGCACGCCTTCCCCCGCCACTTCTCTCCTCACACAGAGCCCGATAACGATGCCTACAGTCACTGCTCCTCACGGCCCTGCAGCCCGGTGCACCACGACGTGCTCGCCAAAGTCTCCAGCAGCCCTCCGCGCTCGAGCCCCGTGAGGCTGGGACCCACCTATGTGCTGAAGAAAGGTAGGCCTCGCAGGGTGGCAGCCGTCTCAAACGAGGATGAAGCGGAATCCCCAGGATGGGTCTTGCCTCTGCCAAGAAGCTGCTCTCCCCTGGCCTCCACTTTCCCATGTGCAGCTTCACAGCACCATGGGGAAGATTGGAAACCGTGGCTGGGCGCCTGCAGTGCTGCCTCACAGGCTGAGGTCCTGGCTCTGGACTCGCAGGCCGGCCCTCTGGATTCCCCTCAGCAGCCGTGCCCCCTCCTTTCGCGCACTGCACGATCGCGATGCGAAAGCACGCTGGCCTTCCCCCGCTGCCCCACTGCTGGAGGGACCTAGCCGGCTGCCTCCGCAGGGCTGGGAACCAAAGGGGGCACTTTGGGGGCAGAGAGGGCAGGAGGCTACCTCAGCCAGGAGAGTGTTGACTTGCAACCGGCCACAGCAAAGCATAGGTTAAATAGTTCACAATTTGCTGCCATTACGCACATATCAGGTCTCCGATTCTATGGTGCGCTGTATTTACAAAGATTGTAAGCCCCTTCGAGGAATCTGCTTGATAAGAGGATATGTTTCCACTCAGTAAGCTGATCCTGAATAAAAAGGCCTATTGAGTTCAGTTGGATTTACTCCCAAGTAAGCGCATATGGGATTGCAACTATAGTGGGTGTGAGCTTGGAAAAGCTTTGCTCCCCTTGTGCACGTGCGCCCTGCCTGACCCTTTCCCCTGGCCAGGCCAAGCAACACTCAGGCTGTGAAGCCTGCCGCTTAAACAAAAGTCTGTGCTCCAGAGAGCGGCAGCAAGTGCTGGCTTTTAAGCAGCGAATGCAGCCCAGAAGAAGTGTGACTTCAGAGGAGAGAGCTCCAGAGGCGTGGGGCCACAGCTGAGAAAGCCCTGCCCTAGGACCTGACAGCCAAGCAGCTCTTGCTGGAGGGGCAGAGAGCAGGGCTTTGACTCTGGCCTCAAGGCCTGGTAGGCTCACCCAGGCATGCAGAAGGGGAGTTTCGCCAGGAGACTTGCCCTCTCCAGCTGCCACCCTCTCGGCTGAGGCCTTGGGACAGTCTTCTGCTCAAAAATGTGGCCAAGTTTCATTTACTCTTTCTCTGTCTTTAAAATCTCCTACCTCAGCTCAGATGCCAGTTTCGGGCAAGAAGAAGAAGGAAGTCCGTTACCGCAGCGTCATCTCTGACATCTTTGATGGCTCCATCCTGAGCCTCGTGCAGTGCCTCACCTGTGACCGAGTGCGTTTCCTTACTGCTGCTGATCCAGTGAAAATGGCAAGAGGCTGGCGCTTTCCAAAACCCCCTCCTCTGGGGAGGCAGCCTTCGCCCGGGACCAGTCGAGATGCCGCTTCTCTCCAGTTAGACCGTTTAGCCCAGACGCGTTGAACTCGGGCCTAGGGGCTGCCTAAGGCCCTCCAGGGGTCCAGATCATGCCCCTCCTCCTTCTTGGCCTTTGTGCGGTTTTTACCCTGAAAGTCCAAAGGCCCAGTGGCTTGTGCTAAGAGCTTCAGGCTGCAGTGAACGGGTGCTTTTGGCCCCACCCAACCCCAGAATGCAGCCCCTGAACATTTCTCCAAAATGCAATTTGGCTCCCCGCCACTGAATAGGGCGACCGCCTGAACCCAGGTCTCTAGCCTTTCTGCCAGGTCTCTGGCCAGGTCTTTCCCAGTCTCACCTTGGCTGCTGGAGAGCCTAGCAGCCTCCCTGGGGAGCAAGGCACACACTCTGTCCCAAGCCAGCCTCTTCCAGCCTGGTGCCCTCCAGGTGGGTTCGGGCTACAACTCCCGGACCCTGCAGCCTGCATTGCTGAGGAACACGCACCGTGGACGGCAGCTTGGAGAAGGCCTGCTAGGCCATGAGTCATCCAGCAGGCATATTACGAGGAGCTGCATCGGGGCCTCCGAAAGATACACAGGGTCACATTGTAGGTCAACTACTTCAACATAACCCCAGTTCAGGATTCCCCCCCAAATCCAATAGTATGCAGCTCTGTTTGGCTGAATTTAAAGTCAGTAGAGAATTCATACCCCTCAAAAGTTTGGGGGTTTTGGCTATGTGAAGGGTAAAAATTGCCTGCCACTCCCCTTGAAGAGTCCCACCTTCTGTTTTTTCTAAACAAGTTACCCTTTGGTTGACTGCCTCTTCTCAGAGCCGAAGTGGCAACTCATTCAGAGCAGCGGCTCCTGGAAGCTGCTGGCTGGGCTTCACCATTGGAGGGCCAGACTAGCTGGGAGTTAATTGGAGGCACGTTTGCAGTCTGCACACTTTTAAAGATGCGCAGAGCAGCTGTGCCCTGTGAGCACGTTTGGTGAGTTGGATGGCAGTGGGGAGGGACGGGTGAGCCTCTCTTCCCGACCCTGCTGCCATTTGGACAAAAGCCGTTCCTCTGCAGCTGCCAGGCCAGGCCTCTCCAGCACCTTGGAGTGACGGGCACATCGGGGATTTTGATCGTGTCCTGGGTGTTCTAACGAAACGGCTACCGTGCCGTGGTGGGCGTGGCTGCCACAAGCCATGCATCTCCCAGGACAGTGAGACCAAAAGAGAAGTAACGTGTCCTTGCATCTAAGTGCAAGGCAGGGATTGGGAACAGCGCCCCAGGCAGCCAGGTGGTGACCGTGCCACCAGTACCTAAAATTGCAAATGTTACTTGAACCCAAATAAAGGTGGTTCTGGAGGGTGGCCCTTTGCTTTGCAGCATGCAGTCGCCCAAGCCCAAAAATCATTCATTTAAGCAACCTTTAAAACTGAAAGACAAATGGGGTGGAGCATGGCAGGAAGGAGAGGGGTGCTTGTGTTCACACTGGTGCCCACAGGCGTCCCGCTGAAGACGGCTGCCTGTATTTGGCACTTTAGGGCCCTTCGCGGCTGGCCCTGGGGGCAGCAGAGCCATGCGGCAGTGTCCTTCCCAGGCTGGGCGGGCACCACATGAAGACTGGTGGGGCGCGCCAGTGGCTCCTTCGTTTGCAAGACTCAGTGGGGGAGTGGCTGGGCAGGAAGAGGCGGGAGCTGCTGCCTTATGGCCTGGGCTTTCCTCCTGTCTTTGCAGCATAGGAAGGACTGTGTTCGGGTGGCTTCCCTTCTGCCAGGGCAACATCTGGAGCTTCCCCTGCGTCTCTCACACCCCAGCCTTTTTCTGTTCTTGTGGGGTGCACACACTTGCACAGAAGGACGTGTGAGTTTGCCGCAGCACCTGCTGTTCACTCTCGAAAAACGTTCTGTCTTGTTCTGAAGCTCTCCCCCTTGCCCCCTGCGGTACCCTCAGGTATCCACCACTGTGGAGACATTCCAGGACCTGTCGCTCCCCATCCCTGGGAAGGAGGACTTGGCCAAGCTGCACTCGGCCATTTACCAAAATGTGCCGGCCAAGACGGGAGCATGCGGAGACAACTATACTGCTTCGCAGGGCTGGATCGCGTTCATCGTGGAGTACATCCGAAGGTGTGTGGGGGAAACGATGCTTCTAACACTCTTGGAAGCAGCTTTTCCAATATTAGAGTTGTGAGTGGAGGCAAGGATCAGAAAGAAAATGGTTCAGCTCTTGGATGTGTGTAAAGTCACACTGGGGAGAAGTGCTTTGAGAGCATTCCCTGCGGAAGGGTTTAAAATGAGATCCACAATGCAGACAGGGGTGGGCAGCTTGGCTTTGGCTTTTACTGGGGCCCAGAAGTCCAGCCCCTGCGCCTGGTGTGGGACGGTGGCTTGAGGGCAGGGCCAGTTACCTGCAGCGCCACCATGAGGCTCCATGAGGCTCCGTGCTGACTGTATCGTGGGCGGGGAGCCTCAGGCTGCTCAGCTTTCCCGGGGCCCTTGCCTTTTTCCCTACCAGGGACCATGTTTTCCTTTTCCCCTCAAAATACTGCTCCGAGGTTGTAATCACTGGCAGTAAAAGTGGGCTGCTGCTCCTGGTAGTTTTGTCCCTGACCCATTTCCCTTCCTGGCCTTCCTGCCACTGAGCTCGCTGCCACCGGGCCCTTCCAAAATGGGATCAGCACTCGTGCATATAGGCAGTAGCCAGAACTCTAGTTAAGGTAGCCGGTGTGGCGTAGTGGTTAAGACTGCAGGGCTGGGACTCGGGAGATCTGGTTTTTAGCCCCCACTCAGCAATAAAGCTCACTGTGTGACTCCGGGCCAGTCACCTCGTGAGCATCTTAGTAACTATTATTTGATTTAATTTATTATATATTTTATCCACCTTTTTTCCTTTGAAAGAGCTCAAGGCAGCTTACATAATTCTCTTCCTCCTCTCAGTCTTATTTCACAACAGCCGCCCATTGCGGTAGGCCTAGGTGGAGAGTCCACAACTGGCCCCCAGTCAAGGGCAGTTGGGGCCTAGAACCCAGATCTCTCGAGTCTCAAACCAGCACTCTGGCTCTGAACAGAAGCTTTCCTTGTAAAGCTTACCTGTGATCCATCCCGAATGCTCTTGTTATGGAATGCTGTGGCTACCTGAGCGCTCATCTTGAAGCGCAGAACCTTTGGGGAGTGGTAGGGGCTGAAGGCTGGAGTCCAGAACAAGCCAGCCCTAAGTGATGTATCCACCTCTTCTTACTTACCTGGCAGGTTTGTGGTATCCTGCATCCCCAGCTGGTTCTGGGGTCCCGTGGTCACACTGGAGGACTGTCTTGCTGCCTTCTTTGCTGCTGATGAGTTGAAAGGTATGTGTGTACGGGCAAGCAGTAGGAAAGGCCCTCATGGAGGCGTGCGGTGTGGTTGCTGCACTGAAGTGGGGCGGGGATGTGCAAGGCACTTTTTCAGATGAACGGCTTCAGTATCTTCGCCTTTTAGCCTGTCCCTGCTCTATGGGGCAGGAGGGAGAGCTGGACATCTTTTCGTTTGATGGCCAAAGTCAGTTTCAGAAAAGCTCATGGGCGGTGCGTTCCAGGAGTGGATGAGACCCAAAGCAAAAGGGTACGGACCAAAAATACCAGCCCATTGTATCTTGAGGATCTTTCTGTCAGTAACTTCCCTGGGAGTCTTCCGGAATGGTGGGGGAGACTGCAAGAGTGCGTGGGAGGAAAGTGGGTGGGACTGGGGGGGCGGCCATGCCTGTCTGGGGGACCTCAGTGGGCTGGATCTGAGCTGGTAGGAGGCAGTTTCGCAGAGTCGTGTGGTCTGAGCATCTTCGTGCAGCTGGGGCAAAAACGGCAGAGACTTCCATCTGGCTTGCTGGAGACTCCTCAGGGTTCCCCTTTATTTCTGTCTTACCGGTCTGCAGGCGACAACATGTACAGCTGCGAACGATGTAAAAAGTAAGTCCTTAGGCTCCCTTTCCATGCTCCTTTTGGCTATTTTCTCCTCCACCCCCAGCCTTCCTGACCACTGGCCATTGCATATGGGGCTAATGGGAGCGGATGCCCCAAACATCTGGAGGATACCAGGTTGTCTACTGGTGCCCTGCATTCTGGAGAAAGCCTTGGGAATCTGCAAAAAGGGTGGAAGAGGAACCAGGAGGTGAAGACGGATGTCACCTCCACGAGAGCAGAGGCTGATACAAACAGCTGTCATTTACTGTGTCCCTCATGCGGGTGAACTGGAAAGGGGAACATCATGGAAATGCAATTGTTGGTGTGTTAAAAACAAGGCTTGGGGGTTTTGCAATTTGTATTTCTCTTTTCTCTCTCTTTCCCCAGGCTGCGGAATGGAGTCAAGTACTGCAAAGTCCTCCAGCTCCCTGAGGTAAGCAGAGGAAGCTTTGACCAAGTCAGTTTTCCAGGATGTGGCAGCTAAATTTGCACAGTAGCTGATTGTCAGAGGGATCAACTGTGTCTCATTCCATTCAAGGAACAGGATTGGGCACTGGAAGCATTTGGACATGCTTTACAAAGCATGAGGAGCAGATAGAGAGACATTCTAGCCTTGTTTCTCCTGCATCCCACATATATAATTTATGCCAACACCAAAAAAAAAAATAAATCCAAAATCCACCACTGGGCAATACCTTCATTAAATCCACCCAAAACAGCATCAAATTGTGCAAGCTTTCAGGGCCTCCAGAACTCTTCTGCTGGCCAGGTGGAACAAAGATCAAGGGGTCAGGGAAGACACATTTGAAAATTTTGGCCAAATGTGCTGGGCATGAATCCTGCACTCAGGATAGGTTTTCTCTAAAAATGGAAATTGCAGGAGTGGTAATAGAAGCCACTGGTTTTAGCTTACTCCTAGTGATGCATTTTGGGAGAGATGAGCTGCGATAGTTGGTCTTCATTGCTGAGGTCAGACGTGCTTCAGCAGTTGTTTGATTTTTTTAAGTTAAGAAACTAGAAGTCCTGGAAGAATATAACAGTTTACAAATGCACACAGGCCTTCGAGCTGAGACTGCCTTTTGGAAAAGCCTCAAAGGTTCAGTTAGGAACACCTTGGACATACCCTGGAGCTTTGCTGCCTTCTCTTCTTCTAGATCTTGTGCATCCACTTGAAACGCTTCCGGCACGAGGTCATGTACTCCTTCAAAATCAACAGTCACGTCGCGTTTCCCCTGGAAGGGCTGGACCTTCGGCCGTTCCTGGCCAAGGAGAGCGTGTCGCAGATCACGACCTACGACCTCTCGTCTGTGATCTGCCACCACGGCACAGCAGGCAGTGAGTCCTCCCCGCCTCCCCCGTCAGCCTGGGGCATGTGGTGGGAGGACGGCGTGGTCAAAGGCCACACGGTGCGGGATCGGCAGCCGGTGGGTTCCTCACCTCAGTGTGGCTGGACCGCAGTGTGGCTTTGAGGTGAGTTCATCGGCTGGACATGTGGAAGCTGTTGCACCTGCCACCACCCATTTGCCGGCCTGCTGCCGATCACGCGGTTGCCCCCAGATGGTCACACCCCTTCCCCGGCCCCACCGCTGCTCCACAAGCGCGGCTCAGGTGACGCTTTCCATGCTTCTGTGCAGTCCGCCCACCCACCCCCATACCAAAGGGTTGGGACGTCCCTGCTAAGGCTGAGTTACTGCCAATAAGAGCTTCCAGCTGGAGGAGGCTGCCGTCTTGGCCCCCCCCCCCCGCTTTGCCATCAGCCCTGCCCACTGCTGGAATATGGTGCTCCGGAGCATCTCCCAAGCTGAGGGGGGCCCTCTCCTGAACGTGAAACCACTTCCCCTCCTCTGCTGTGCTGTAAAATGGGGCTCTGGTGATGGTGGCAGTGCCTTGGCTTTGGCTGGCCGAGCTGCCTTCGAGCCAGGGAGAGGCGGGCTGGCAGGCGGCCTCAGGAAGGAGCTCCTGGAGCAGCCACAGTGGTGCCTCTGCAGCTGGACCGTGGGGACCACGTCCAGGGCCCCTGCAACTCCCCGTGAAGTCCTTGGCGAGGGACCCTTTTGCTTTCCCCCACCGCCTCCGCCAGCCTCAGCATGTGGCCTCCCGTTCCTTGCAGGCGGGCATTATATCGCTTACTGCCAGAATGTGATCAACGGCCAGTGGTACGAATTCGACGACCAGTACGTCACGGAAGTGCACGAAACGGTTGTCCAGAATGCAGAGGCCTACGTTCTATTCTACAGGTGAGGGCTGGCTCTGAAAGGAGGTGGCTCTGGGGAGCATGCCTTGTTTCTAGAATTGGGGGCGGGGGGCTAGGGACAGATTTCCTGGGGCTGGAAATGCGGGAAGGAGCTATTCTTCAAAGCACTGAGGTGAGAGAGCCTCAAACTGGGGACCTGGGTGTTCACTGGGTGATGTTGGTCTAGTCACGCACTCAGAGCCTCGCCTGCCTCACGGGACTGTTGTGAGGATAAAAATGGAGTGCAGAACGGCGCAGTCTGCCTCAGTTTCCTGGCAAGAGGGAAAAGATAGAAATGCAGTGCAATTACAGTCAAACCTCCGGCAGCATTTGGAGTGCCACAGAACTCCTTGTCTGTCAGCCGGCCCTGAGAAAAGCGCTCCTAGGAAAGCCCCTAGCTGCAGTCTGTGTGTCGCAAATGGTGAGGGGCAGCAGCAACGGCCCCTCCTGAAGGGGAGGACATTCTGGGGCTCTTCCCTTCCCAAGCAGTCAGCTGTCTTTCCACGGGACAAGTTCACTTCCGCTGCCCCGCAGTTCGCAAGCCTTTTGCTCCCAACTGGGGCAAAGCAGCCCTGGTGTTGGCGCCCAGTGCCTCCCAGCAGGTGTCTGGGGGTGCCTGCCCGGGCTGCTGCACTGCCTCAAATGCTCCACAGTGCCCAGACGGCCTAGGGAACTGTGGGGCACGTTTTAAAGGACGGCCTCCCTGGTGAGCCCACAGCCTTGGGGGACGCGCTGAAGGGCGCGCTGCCGCAGCTGAGGCCCCCCAGCCCTGGCGCCAGCCGGGGGGAAGCACGCAAAAGGAGAGCAGGGCTCCCGCCCGCCCGCCGCCCACCCGCCTCCCCTCTGCCCTGGGCCATCCCGCTCCCTCCTGCTGGGTCTTCGGGCCTCCAGCACCTGCTGCCCTTGGCAGGGAGGGGGTGGGGGCGGGGGCAGGAGGGCCTGCTGCGCTGCTGCTTCACACTGCCAGCCGTGCGGATGCCCGAGCGACCTCCTGGAAGTGCAGAGGAGGGAATTCGCCTCCAGGGTCCAACGCCTGCTTCCCAGTGACTGGTGGGGCAGGATCAGGGGACCGCCAGGGCGACTGTGGGGCCTGGATCCCACACTTCAGCGGGCCCCTGCTCGCCGCGCCCAAATTTGCTTCCAGGAAGAGCAGCGAGGAGGCGGTGCGGGAGCGGCAGAAAGTGGTGTCCTTGGCCACCATGAAGGAGCCCGGCCTGCTCCAGTTCTACATCTCCCGCGAGTGGCTGAACAAGTTCAACACCTTCGCGGAGCCCGGCCCCATAACCAACCACACCTTCCTCTGCAGCCACGGAGGTGAGGGCAGGGGGTGCCCTGGGCGGAAGGCAGCCGCCGGGCCCTGCGCTAGGAGGGGTGCGATTGCGGGCCGGTCCCTCCCAGTAGCCGGTGGCCGAGCTTCCCGTGGCCTCTCCTCGAGTTGCCCCCGCATTGCCTCTGCGGCAGAATCCCCTCCCTGCGCAGGCACTCCCGTTGGACCACATGGCTTTATGGGGTGGGAGGGCCACAACGCACACCCTGTTCGTTAGTTGCAGTGTGCTGACCTGTTCGTTGGCCAAAAAGGCTCCTGCAGTGACTTAGAAATTTCGGCGTCCCCGCTGTCAGGCTCACGCTCTGAGGAGCAGGCGCAAGCAGCTGGGAGGGAGGCGGCCAGGTGCAGGGACGCTTTTTCCAGCTGGAGAGGGCAAAACAGGCCCGCGGCAGCTCCTCCTGCTCCTCCGCCTGAGAGATGAGGCTGCTATGGTCCTGCTCTCGCTGCATGGGTTTTCCAGGGGAGCTGGGCAGGGGCAGCCCCTCCTGTGGCAAGGCCGGAGCCCGAGGGGCTGCCCACTGGCACTGCCTGCTCTGCTGCCGCCCCTCCCATGGCACCTGACCCAGGGCCAGGGTGGTCTCCCCGCCTGCGGGCAATGCTGGGAGCACCCGGACAGGCCTGAGTGAGCCTGGGGAGCCTTTTCCCACAGACAGGGCCACTGGGAGATGCCAGCCTCCTGGCTTCCCTGCTCCGGTCTGGCTGGAGCATTCCCCTGGGAAACAAGGCGCCGCTCCCCGGGGCCTGCGGGAGGGTCGGCCCCCAGGGGGTCCTCTTTCCTTCACTCCCTGCTCTCTCCTCCTTTGCTTGCAGGCATTCCTCCAAATAAATACCACTACATTGATGACCTTGTGGTGATTCTTCCCCAGAACGTCTGGGAGTATCTTTACAACAGGTGGGGAGGCAGCCCGTGCAAATTGTACTGTCTGCACCGCTCCGCACCCCAAGAAACTTGCGTTGGGGCTGTCTCGTTTAAAACCAAATTTCCAGCCCTCAAGGTAGAGGAGAGAGCCTGGTCCGCACGCTCAGGGTGCCGGCCCCTTCTCCTCCGCCCTCTCCTCTCGCGCCTGCCCTGCGGCGGCCTTGCTCATCCCGTGCCCTCCCGAGGGTTAGACGGCAGCACCCCATTGGCTGCCCCGTGGGATCCAGGCCTGGGTGTGCGCGCTGAAAGAGGTGCATTTCTCCCGCACCGCTGGCCCAGCCCTGCGTCGAGCCCTTGCGCGTTGCCGCCGGGGGGCCGGGGGGGGGGGGGCGGGGGCTGCCCCTCCTTTCCCGCCGTTCCGCTTCCGGGCCCAGCATCTCCTTTGCCCGCAGGTTTGGCGGTGGCCCCGCGGTGAACCATCTGTACGTGTGCTCGGTGTGCCAGGTGGAGCTGGAAGCGCTGGCGAAGCGGAGGAAGCTGGAGATCGACACGTTCATCAAGGTGCCGTCGGGGCGCGGGCGGGCGGGCTTGAGTGCGTGGCCCTTCCGGCGGCCCTTCCCGTGCAGGCGGGGCGGCGGGGGGCATGGCCGCTTTGTTCCTGGGCTCCCCGCCCAGCACGCCGGCACATGGCTGCGCCGGGAAAGCGGGCACGGCAAGGGCCTGCCCACACGGGGACGGCGGGGGAAGGTGCCCCTGAAGTGGCTGTAAACGCCCGACGGTGGGACCCGCGCGGTGTGTGTGGGGGGCCTTGGTCTCCCCGATGACCCCCCTGTGCTTGGCCCCCAGCTGAACAAGGCCTTCCAGGCTGAGGAGTCTCCGAGCGTCATGTACTGCATCAGCATGCAGTGGTTCCGCGAGTGGGAGGCCTTTGTCAAAGGCAAGGACAACGGTACGCCTGGGCCGGGGGCGGGGGGCGGGGGGGGGCCGCACGGCGGGGGCAACCCAGTGGCAGGGCGATCTGCGGGACACGCTGCAAGCTGAGCTGCCCCCCCCCCCCCAGAACCACTTTCTCCGGTGGGCCGGCCACGTTGGCGGGGTCACTTGCAGGTGCAGAGGTCTGCCTGGCGTGGGGGCGTCCTCCCCACACCGCAGCTCAGGCCGGGAAGCAGCCCTGCTTGGCCCTCCCGGGCACTTGCACCAGCTCAGAGCTGGGTCCGGCCGCTGGTGCAGCTCACGGGTGGGCCGGGATAGCAGGCAATGGGTGCTTCCTAAGGCAGCTGGCAGTGAGCCCAAGGGCTCCTTCCCGAAACAGGGCCAGGTTGGCAGAAGGGCCGTCCCTCGGTGCGTTCCGCTCCAGGGATGAGCGTGCCGGCTGCACCACTGGCCCCACTCAAATCGGCAAGGGGGCAGCAAGGGGAGCGGGTAGTGGCTCTTCTCCGCAGTTTCACACAGACGGCAAACAAGCTGGCCTAAAAATTCACCCGATGGACCGCAGAAAGGCAAAATCGGGTGGGAGCAGGAGTTCAATAAACTACCCGGGGGCACAAGAACAAGCCAAAGGTTGCAAGAGGAAAGTCACCAGCTTGGGTGGCCTTCGAAGGGGATTGAGCAGCTCCCTGGAGGAGGCAGTGATCGATGCTTCCAGTCCCGGTGGCGGAAGGCTCCCTCCGTTCTCGGGGGCAGCATCCTTCCGCGCACCAGCTGCTGAGGAGCATGGGCCGGGGTCTGCCACCCCGGGGCTCGCCCGTGGGATCCCATGGGCAGCTAGTGAACTGCTGTGGGCAGCACGCTGGACGGGAGGGACCCGGCCTGGCCCAGCGGGCTCTCCTCCTGTTCCCAGCTGGGACTGTCTGCTGTGCATGAACTTAATTCCACGGAAGTGGTGCTGCGTGCAACCAGGTAGCCCGAAGCAGATCTGGACCGTGTGCCTCCTTCCCTGTAGAGCCTCCTGGACCGATTGACAACAGCAGGATTGCCGTGGCGAAAGGAAGTGGACACGTGCAGGTCAAGCAGGGTAAGGCTCCTGGACCCCCTCCCCACCTCCAGCAAGGGAAAACGCGCATCTCACGGCAGCGGAGGGTTAAAGCACAGCTTTCCCTGCCTTAAGGAAGGAGCCAGTGGCTTCCCATACAGGGTTGCTGGGGTCTAGCAGAGAGGCTCTTTCCTTGATGCATTTTCGGAACTTGCTTTTTCAGTCCGGAACTGTAGCTGGGACTGGCCCCACAGGCCGGGAACTCACTGGCGACTGACCCAGCCTGCAGAGAAGAGCAGTTCCTCTTCCAGTGTTTCATCTTAGGTTATTTTATTGCATTTTCTTTGTCTTTGTTCTGGTTTTGATTTCAAACTGCATAATTAAAAAAATGTGGGTGCCTGTTTGGGACTGGGAGGAGGGGATGCGTGGGGGGTGGTTTGCAGAGGAGAGGGCGAGCAGTGGTGCTCGGTGTGACGGCAAGGTGCGGCTTCCAGTGTCCAGGCCCATGTGTCTGTGGACACCAGTGCTGGGGAACCTGGGCAGGAGGTGCTGTGGCCCGCCCCTCGTGCCTTCCGGTTTCCGGTGAGTGGCGGTGTGGCTGTTGTATGAGCAGAATGTTGGCTGAGGGAGCCCCTTGGCATGAACCAGGCCTGCCCTTTTGCATTCTTGCGGTCATAACAGTTAACGTTAACATTTTTGACAAGGCGAGGAGAAATTTGCTGTCGTGGAAGCCACTCGTAAGCAGCACTTTCTGGCTTCTCCTCTACAGGAGCTGATTATGGGCAAATTTCCGAGGAGACGTGGATTTACTTAAGCACGCTCTACAGCGGAGGCCCCGAGATCGCCCTGCGGCAGAACGTGGCCCAGGTGCAGGAGGTGGAAAGTCTGCACGGAGAGCGGAAGATCGAAGCAGAAACAAGGGCCGCCTGAGCAACGGTCCAGCCGACCCCAGAGAGGAGGTGCCCGGCAAGTGCGCTTGTCCCCCAGGAAAACTGGGGTTCAGTCAGCCACCTTTTCCTGAGTTAGGCCATTGGGGCCATCTTGGCTGGCACGCCAACTTTCTATGCCAGCTAGGGATGATGAGCATTGTAGTCCAACCAATTGGCAGGCACCAGGTTGGGGAAGAGCGGTCTGCTGCCTCCGGTTACAGTTTTTCGGGAAAACCCAGAAATCCATGATTTAATGAAATGGGAAAGCACCCAGCTAAAAATCAGCAGCCTGCGGGGGAGGGGGGGGCTGGAGCTGCGGCCCAGCGCCTGGGCGGGGAGGGCTGGCCGAACAGTCAGTCTTTCCCGCCCGGCGTGCCTCGCACAGGGCTCCCCCAGTCCTGCCCTGGCCGTGCTTTCCGTATCTCTGTGCTAAACTTTCAGGGCGGCTCTTGTCGCAGTTTTCTGCTTCTGGGAGCTTCGGGTTTGTCCGCAGGCTGGCCCTGTAAGCCTTTGAGTGCGAAGGGCCCGGAGAGGGGAAGCCTGCCGAGGGGACTGTTCCTGGGGGCAGCAGCCCCTTCTGCAGGGGCACGGCTCTGCCCAGAGTTTCTGCGAGCAGGAAGGCAGGGCCTGACCTCCGTCCCATTGCCTTTGCTAGACCGGGCCAGGCTTGGCTTCCCCACCGGGGAGTGGACATTCTGCCTCTGCAGGGAGTCTGCGAACACTCTTGTTTTGAACCCAGAACGTGCACAGCAGTGGCGGCCACCTCGCCCCGTCCACCATGAGTTCTGCCGTAGCTCCTCAGAAACGACGTTCCAGAAAGGCCGGCAAGGCCCGACAGCCTCACGGAAGAAAGAGTGTCCCTCCAGCAGGAAGAGACAAGGCCTGTGTTCCCTCCCGCTCCACCCGGGAAAGCGCCTCCTGGCCAGCTGGCCGGCCGGCCGGCCTCAAGGCACGCGCTCCCTGCCAGGGCCAACTCTGTTGGCGGTCAGCGTGGCCGTTGGTGGCCCCCCTGGCCACCCGCCCAGAGGAGGGCCACGTTCCGTGGCTTCTCTGGGCTTCCTGCCAGTTCAGCAGAAGCAGCGGAGCCCAGGCTGGCGGGGAGACATGACGTGCTCCTCGTGCCTCGTCCGGAGGATGCCGCTGCGCTGGCGTTCCTTCCGCCGCTGCACACCGGAGGGCGCTGCTCCCCTTCTTCTGATCAGCGGGCGCTTTCTGATCTTACCTATCACTATTTGTGTATTTATTTGCAAGGATCAACCCCCCGTCCTTATTCACCGTGACTGTTCTCCCGGACCCCCCTTCCCGCTCCCCCAGATTTCACAAAGCTCACACGATACCTTGCTGACCTTGGCGCCCCGAAGCAAACAGTGGCCCTTGTGGGCGCATCCCTTCAGGCTTGAACCGTGCCTGCTTAGCGGCGCCTTGCCCTTCGGAGGGCCTCGGCAGCGAGAAGCGCAGCAGTACTGGGATGCCGGCCGGCCGCAGGCGGCTCCCCTGCCTGCCCCCACAAGCATCCCCTCAGTGTAAGGGCAAGAAAGCCAGCAGCTCGTCTCCCGACTGCCCCCCTCCGCGGAGCGCGGGCGACCAGGCAGGTCCTCCGAGGAGCTCCGTGGCCCCACAGTGCCTGCGGGACTCGGAGAGGTAGAGCGGGGGCACGAAACCGCTGCCGAGGCCCGGCACAGCACCCCGACAGCCCTCGGCAGAGGAGGTTGTGAAGGTGCTGAGCCTCGCCACTCGCTCTGATGTCGCACCTATCCTGGTTTTCCGCAAACGCACACGCAGCCTTCCTTCGCCCACCTCCTCTCGTTTCCCTGAACGCTCCCAGGATTCCATGGGCCTCTTCTGGGGCAAGCTGTCCCTTGTGAGCGGGACGGGGTGGTCGTGGGATGAAGGGGTGGGGCGAGCGAGGCTTTTGGAGACCGGCTGCTCCACCAGCAGCAGTTGGTGGCCGTTTCACCAAGAGAAAGGCGGGCCCTTCTTGCGCACGCCTCCTTGCTTTCCCCGTTGACTGGAACGTCCCGATCCCCGAAGGAACTGCTCCCGAGGCGGCCAGGGAGGACTGGGCCGCGTCGCTCCTCACGCCTTGTGTCACCGGAGCCTGGCGCCCGTGCCTGTTTGCCACGGAGCTTCTGCGGCAGCAGTTGTGGTTGTGCTCCGTGCGTGTGCTTCCCCAGAGACGGACCCCCCAGGGTGTCTACCGGCTCCTGTGCTCGAGTCGCTCCATTCTGCTAAGAACGTGAGCCAATAAAGTTGCTTGCCTCTCGCATCGTGTGGCTGCTGCATTGCTTGGCTCCGCGCGCGCGTCCCTGGGCCAGAGTGAGGCAGGCAGGGTCTCGTGTGGAACGCGAGCAGCACGTCCCGGGCCCCCACGAGAAGGCCGCCCTGTGGGGAAGGGCCCCAGGCTGGCAGCTCCTCGTGACTGGAGATGTCAACAGGCTCATTCCGAGCTGTCCACTTGGGGTCAAGCCCTCCTGAGAAGTCAGTGCGGCATGCGCTGCTTTCAGGAAGGCAGGTCCTGCGACCTGGCGCCGGACACGGGCCCCTTGCCGCAGGGCCAGCCCCTTCATCCCCCACTGGGGGAAGCCATGGGACAGTGGGGCATTCAGCCTGAACGCAGCTGGGGTGCATGGGTGTCCTGCGCTAGCGGGGCCTCCACCCAAGGGCCATCCTGACCCCTTCCAGCGCCACTATGCTACGCTTCTTGCCTGTTCTGCCAGGCTGTTACGGAGCAAGCCCAGAGCCACAGGGCAGACCTTCCGAATAAGACCCTCCTCGTAGTGGGCATGGTGAAAAATGCGGAGGAGGCGTGCCTTTCAGCCTTGGACTCCCAGTTTCATCTCGGCCACGCTTCTTCCAGGCAGAGCTTGTCCTGTGGAACAGACTGATGTCTTTGTTTCACATCTGGCAGCTCGCCAGTGATCTCTGCAGCCCAAAGCCTGTTTCGGGCAGCTGAGGCTGCAGATCTTCTGATGCCTCAAACGCTAAAAGCAGCATCCCGTTTGCCTTTGGCTTCACCAGGTGCTGGGATGCCGCTGCCAGGAGCGTCACAAAATTACGTCCAGTCCTCTCCACTTCTGCACACCTAGATGTCTTTGTCCGGAAGCATCCTCAGTGCAGAGTCACTGCTTGAAAATACTGTATAATGATTTTTTTTTTAAATAATCACCATTAAACAAGAGCTTTACTTGCTTTCAAATGGAAGCACTTTATTTGATAGAATTCTGTTGCCAGAAACAAATGTGTCAAAACACTAGAACCTTTACACCTTCTGAACTATGAAACCATACGCATGGACATACATGAAGATGCCAGCAAAACCTAGATAAAAGGAATCCAGTGCCTAAATCCATAGAAATCATTCCTCCTCCTTGCAGGGGGCAGGGGACAAGAAAAGAGAAAAAGTGCTCAATGTTATATGTTAAAATATAATTTGGCTTATCTTGTTTTCTTAAAAAAACCTTTTGACACTTCAAGCATGAAAGGGAGAGATGGAGTGAGTCTATGTCACAAAACTTACGAAAAATATTCAGCATTAAAACACAACTTTTCAGTAAATATGTTTCTTTTCTCTTGTTCTATTTACAGATATTAAGAACAGGTGTTAGACATAGGAAACAAAGTATTGGGTAGAATTTAGAGGCAAGGATCATTTTTTTTTTCTCCCCCTCCTCAGTAGGATTGTGAGAAAGTCGTAGAGTTTTTAGAAACTGCTTATGGCATCAATGTACCCTAAACTTGTGAGGCTCCTTCCTGGAGCTCTGTGCATACTCCTAAGCGGAGATGGAGCTTCTCCGTGTTTATTGAAGACACTCTGGAAACCTGTTTATAGGTCTTGGAGATTATTCTGAAGCAGGGAAACAGTGGCACACGTCTCCGGACTTTTGCAGGAGCCATCCATGATGCGATCCACTTGGCTGCTCACAGGGATGGTGGCGTGAAACTTCTCTGCCTAGGCTGCAGCACTGGCAGGGAGGAGATGCTCTGGGAAGGGAGCACCTCTTGAATGAAGACGCAAGAATCCAGGAGCTCCCGCAGGTGTGTTCCCTCTGCCTATGCTTTGCACATGCACGCTGGACCAGTCAAAGGCAGTTCCCCAGCCCCCCACCCCCCGCAAGCTGCTGTCCCCCAGTAATTAACCTGCATCAGTTCAGTTTTTAACCCCAAATGAGACACACATAAAACTGCGGGGTCTCGAGGGGACTCCAGTGGGACCCAAAGTGCTCTTGGTGCCACCCCAGCTGCTTTTCATTGCATTTCCTTAGAAATTTTCGTGGATTGCTGCCTTTAACTAGGAGGCTGGCACAAGGTCAAAAGAGGGGATGCCGCCTGGCACCACCACCGTTTGGGTTTTGTGCCATTGAGCTGACCTCTGCTGCGGACTTTGGCTCTTGAGTAAAGGACTTTTCATACAGTCCTACCAACCAGCCGTCTGGGAAACAAGCGTCTCTCAGCCCATCTTAACGGCGTTCCATGAATGGGCAGCACTCGCTTTCCCAAACACTCAAGGCATGTCCGGGCCCTGCACCCACCGCTGGCTTTTCCCTCATTCAAGCTGTGACGCATTTTTCAGACTTCACACCAGCCTGGAAGAAGAGCACCGGGGCTGCTTGCTCTCAGAAATGTTCCCATCTATCGCACACCCCCGGCTGTCCTCCGCCAAAGCACCCGGCTCAATGGGCACCGTGCCTCTGCGCTTTGGTTTCCTGGAAAATGTGGACTTCTGGGAAAGGAAGTAACTTTTCCCAAATGCCGTTTTTGTCAGTGTGTTCTTCAAAGCGAGAAGGATGTACCAAGAAAGCATCAGCTTTTAAAAACTCCTAGGACCTGTTTCTCCACAGTCCTAAGTCGTGAGGAGCAGGCAGGATTCGACCTTCCTTGCAAAAAAGCTGTGTGGACGCTGCAGTCATTTGGACGTTCCTGGTAGGGTGACAATAATATACTGTCCACCTAGCTTAAATATATTTATTTATATATATTATATGTATATCAACAAGCAGACCTCTCTCTTAGTCATACAGCAGTGACATCAAACAAACCAACAATGAAAAGGAAGGGAGAAAAGCCAGTTCCTGTTTTGTCATCGCAACCATAAGTGGAAACATCACAAAAACCAAAACAAAGAGGCAGCACGCAACCCCGTGGTCTCCTTATTCACTTCGACTTCTTGCCCTTCGGAGCTGCACTGATCTCCAAAACGGGGAACGATGGGCTGTGGCTGCAGCCCTCCTTGGGGCGGGAGGCTCGTGGCCACCGGGTGGAGCGGGGCAGGAACCCCGAGGCCCGTCACGGGGCAGGGAGGGCGGCACTTGAGGGCGTTTCTGCTCGTAAATCCGGCCTAGAGAAGGTCTGGGCTCCATCTGGGTCGGCTTGGAGGAGGCACCTCCTTGCTCCCCTCTGACGGCAGTTCAGTTTGCCATAAAACCGGGACAAAGCACGATTGCTCAGTGGACCAGGGAGTTGCCAGGCACTTAAAAGGAGGGGCAGGAGCAGCATTTTCCCATCGGCATCCATGGAAGGGGTTGGGATTGTTCCTACTGATCGCAATTAACATGCGTGGGGGGTTGTTTTTGGAGAAATCCCCCCACCTCCTGTGACGGGGTTTTTTTGCAAGCATAGTTGCCTCGTGGTGGGGAAGAGGGCTGGGGGACTGCTGCTGGAAAGCTGCCCCTCGCACGGCAGCCGAGCTGAAAAAGCCAAGCTGTCCCCAGGGTGGAGACTGCTGCACAGGTGCAGACCTAGCAGGCCCCCTGCGAGGAGCACAGCTGGGGCCAAAGGCATTTGCGGGCTCCGTCCTGCATCGCCCCATCGGGGTAGTGGACGCTCTCGGCTGCGTTCCACCCTGCTGCGGTGGCATTTATGGCCAGCTGCAGCGCAGACAAGGGCTCTGCCGCCCCATTTCTGCTTTCCCTGCAGCACTGCAAGGGCTCCTTAATTTACAGGGAGGCAGAAAAGCGGCCTTGCGGTCCCCAAGATTCGGAGAGCCGGCAGCACCGTTTTAGCCAGTGGTCATGTCTGTGGGAAAACACTCCCCGAATGGGAACCCACCCAGAGGAAAGGCCCTCCTGGGGTCTGCTTTTCACAGCGGCCAAACGGAAGCCTCCACGAAGTCTCACGCCGGCTTTTGTGGCTGGCAGCTGTCCAAGAAATGCCCCAGGGGAGCCAGTGGGATGCCTGCGCAACTGTGTCCCATCGCCGCACCTGCAGCTGCGGAGGCCGTCCCTGGAGGCCGTGTCCGAAGAGCCCTTCGCCACGCATCCCGGGGGCGGCCAGCGAAGGCTGGGCCGCAGCAGTGCTCTCGTCACCGGGGAGGGGGCCCCTGAGCGAGCTCACCTGCGCTGACCTGGGAACCACGGAAGTCACCCCTTTCAGGAACGCAGAGTGCTGCCTCCCATGGCATCTGTCCCTCCCGCCCGGGATTAATTCCCCCGAGGGTGCAGAACCTCCCAGCTTAGGGGCAGAAGCAAAAAACAAAGCCACAAACGCCAGCCACTTCTAGCTTAAAATGAGACTTTAGGGAAGTCTTCTTAGAATGGGGGAAACTCTGCACAAAGACCAGGAAAGCGCCACATGGCTGGCAACGGACGGAAAGAGGGTGGCAGAGGGAGAGGAGACGCATTTGGGAGCCGCAGAAGGCCAGACCTCAGCCGGGGTTGGCGGTTCTGCCCCCCTCAGCTAGACAGGCTGCCCTGTGGATTTGGCAGGGATCGCGCCTGGGACGAGCTGCACGCCAAGCTCGTCGCCCTGCCTCTGCGCAGAGCCCCTCTCCCGGCTTGGCACATGGCCGTCCAGGGTGACATATGCTGGGCTGGGTTTGATAAAGGATATTGATATTCTTCGACTCCTGCCGTCTTCAGAGGGGCCGTGTGTCCCTTAGGCAAGCAGTCTCTCTCTCTCTCTCTCTCTCTCTCTCTCTCTCTCTCTCTCTCTCTCTGAGCTGGCCCACACAGGTGGCACTTTTTTCCTGCTGCCTCTGGTGCAGGCAGGTGGCTCAGGTGACGCGGCAAGGCAGCGATCTCTTCACAATTGGGGACAATTGCGTGGCCGAAGCGCACGCACTGACCCAAATCCATCCCGGCCCTTTGGTGGAGAACTGAGGCTTCTTCAGCACAGCTATTTAGGCCTTCCAGGGTAGAGTATGTAAAGACTGGCCGGACTCCTGGTGCTGCTCTGTCAGCTGCTGTCGAAACGAGGGGTCATGCTCTGGTCCACTTGACTGGAGAACAGCGGATGTCTGGGAGGTCCGGAGGCCCCATGGCAAGCCACCCCCCGAAGCAACGATGCCCAGCAGTGCAGCTTTCAGCAGTGCTGCCGTCTCCTCTCGCGAGGGGCTCCCCCACAAGACAGATTCCCCTTTCATCGACAACACGGGTCCCCAAAATGAGATTCTGAGGCAGACCTGAGTGGGGGAGGGGGTGGCTGTGTTGCAACGGAGACCGGGCAGGTGGGCGGGGGGGGGATCAGAGTGCAACTTGGCTGAGATGGCCGGGCGGGGCGGGCAGGGCAGGGCAGGGTCGGAAAAGCCAGAGAAGTAAAATGCAACAGCGTGCAGAGAGAGCATGCAGAAGGAGAGGGGAGGTCTTGAGGTGCTAAAAGAAGGAACCAAAGACATTAAAAACGGCAGCGGTGAGATTAAATGGAGCACCTTAAAAAGGCAGGTGGATGCAGGCAAGGCAGCAGGGCGAGCATGCGAGCGGAGAGGCGGCGGAAACGGAGGTCTGCGGAGAACAGGCCACGGGCCAAGAGCAGGCGTCTTTCTGGCCATGCGGGGGGACGGACGGCATTCGGGGGCACTCGGCGAGGCCTCTGCGAGGGCTGCCCGGCCAGCTGTCCAAGCCCTTCCGGCAAGGCCAGGGGTGACCGGCTCCAGTTTTGGAGAGGGCCTGCTGGCGCTCTCCAACCAGCCCCAGGCACTGGGTGCAAACCCAGGCAAAATGGAAGAGGGAAAAATGGCTACCTGGACGCAAGGAAAAGTGGCAGGGCCTCTGAACGCCTCGGAGGAAGGACCAGCGCCTCTTTTATGGCGAGAGGGTCCCGGGAACTGTAGGGTCTTTTCAAAAATACCCCGGTCAAAAGGTCAGCATGCACCGATGCAAACTGTACGTCCCCAGAGGTTTCATCTCCAACACACATTAGGCGAAAGGAGCTTCCAGAGTTTGGAGGGGGGGGTGCTATCCCGGGGGCCCTGCAGCAGCCACGAGGCAGCAAAAAGAAGAGACGGCCTGTTTCAACAGGTAACACCTGCTGTTCGCCACCTCAGCACACGTACTTTCTGTCGCTACTTTGCTCTTCCAAAGCCCTGTTTTGCCACTGATTTTTGCTTTTAAAGTGGGGATTCTGCCCCACTCCACTGCTGAGCACGAGGCAGAGGCAGCCAGGCACCGGGGCACGCCACGGCCGGTCGAGGCGGCAGACGGCCCAGTGCAGGCCGAAACTACAGAACGCCTGAGAGCTGGCCAGCCACAAGGTGGTGGATGATGGAGCCTGTTCTGGCGCGAGTGCGGATCCTTCTGCACTTCGCTGGGAGGAAAGCCACTGGATGTGGTGACTGGGTTCAGACAACATGCTAACCTGTGGTTTACCAACGACCCACCGTCTAGTCAGCCCTGGAAGGTGCGTTGTGTTGCCCGAACTTCGCCAGGGGCTCCACACAAATAATACACAGGTGTGCGTGCTCAATACACCCACTGGGCAGGGGGCACCGAGAAGCAGCAACTAGCACAAATGTTCTGTTTGGAAATAGATGGAACTATTTATGGATCCTACTACTATGCTGATGTATTTTTGCAGTTTATTACGGTTAGGCACTTGCATCAGCTCAGCACGTGTGTGGTGGGAACCCTACGAGCGAGCACCGTTTTCATGCTGCTGGGTGGCTGAGCCAGGGCACTCTGCTTGCCGATGGGCTAGCAAGTGTCTTCTTAGCCAAGGTGAGATTTCTGAAGGACTGGCCCTTCCACTGGCTCCTCCCCACGGTCAGAGCGGCTGTTCCCTTAACAACAGGGTCTCAGCAACAGGCCTCAAGCACCTCTCCCAGCACCCACCAAGTTCCTTCCTTCTGATTTCTGCTTTATTTTGCCATTTTTAAAAACATGCTTTTGCTTGCAGGCTGCCTGTGGGAAAGTACTATCTCCGCAGGGCCTCGAAGCCGTGCGCCTGTGCTTTAAGCTTCGTGGACCATCCCTGCCTCGGGTTCCAGGTTCTGTGCAGACAGCTTTCCTTTTAGACTCGCCATTTGTACACTTGACCTTACTTGTCTGCAGGTGCAGGAAATGAAAAGATGCAAACTTTTTGGCCAGGAAAAATCCACATTTTTCCTAAAGGGACATAGGTGTGCATTTGAAAAAGACGTTAACTTGTAGGCACGTGAGCGGGGCACTCTGGGGGGAAATGTGGAGAGCCTCAGCTGGCCCACAGGTTCCATGTCCGCCCACCTTCCGTGCAGAGCGAGCGAGAGAGAGGTCGGGGGTCGGGGCAGGCTGGCCACGGACGGCTGTGTCTGCCGCTTGCTCAACGTCCCACCTTGGCTATGAAGGCACTGGCTGGCCAGCCGCTCTTTCAGCCTCATTTTTCCTGTCGGAAAACTGGCAAGAATAACTGAGCTGGAAGGGCTGTGAGGAAGAGTGGCCGGCTTCCCCAAGGAGGCGCCCAGTCTCCCTTTTCTGGAGAGGCCACGGGGCAGAATGGAAGGCATGGGTGTCTGTTCCGGCGTTGCACCCTACGCGAACGACGATGTAGGGAGGGGAAAGGGCGGCGGGTTAGTCTGAGGCAGCAGGTGCCATGCCGGGGAGAGCTTAGCAAGCAACCGAGTGATGATGTGGGACTGGCGCCTTACGCTGCTCCTCGCTCCACCAAGGCTGGCTCCACGCTGGGCCAGAGGAGCGGGGGTGCCTTGTGCAGCAACCCCCCTGTCAAAAAGAGGTGCTTGGAAACAAAACCGGGGAAGGAAAAAGCCAAAACAAAAAACCAGACCAGTGTTCCTCCTCTTGTGCCCGCTCGCCCCGAGGCTCTTGTCCCAGCCACCAGCACTTTTAGGAATCTAAAAAAGAGCACACACACAGAGAGAGAAAGGAGAGAGGGAGATCTGTTAGGCACTGCGTCGGGGTGGTCTGGGGAGGTGTGTGGGGGCACTCAACACCCCCAGGGCTCCCGGAGGGACGGCACAGCCCCACTCCCCTGCCCCCAGGCACTAAGTGGGACTGGACTGTAGGAAGACGCTTTGGGAGACCCCCCATGCCGCCCCGGAAGGAGAAAGGTGGTGCCCCACACTCCACAGAAAGTTGTGGACCCCCGATAAAAAGGAACCTGCTGTGCCCTTTCGATGGGAGGACCCATTTCTTAACCACAAATTATGTAAATGCACCTAGAGAATTCTCTGCAGGATTGAAAACTCCGGCCATCAGACTGTTATTGGCAGCGAGGGAGTAAAAGCCGCCCCACAGTAAAATCCCAAAGCAAGCACCAGAGTGAATTATCGTAGCAGGAAGGAACGAGAAGGCAGCAAAACGTCTGTTTTGCCTCTGCTCCCTGCACCCCAAAGCGGCTTGAAAGCGGGCTCTTCTACGCGGAAGCTGGTGGCGAACCTACAGGGCAGCACCGCCGCTTTGGTCTCGAGCAAAGGCACCAACATTCAGCATCTACGCCAAAAGCCAGTGCAGTCGCTCCATGGCTGCTTAAAGAAAACCCCACAAGCATGAGAAAATAAAACAGTTTACTTTTATTACAGGCTGGGAAAGCAGTACATCTAACAGGGGAAGCCCCCGTGGGTAAACGGGAAAGTGGTTCTAGAGTGAACAAACCTCAGCCTCGATGGTGGTGTTTCCTACACCGCCGATTCTGAGAGCAGGCAAAATGGGAAACACACAGAGAGAAAGAGCTTCAGCACCACAAACGGGGCTTTGATGGCGTCGGCCAGTTCAAGCCGAGGGAGCACAAGGGGCGCACAGGAGAGTTCGTGGATGCACACGAGAGAAGACAAAGGCAGCGATCTCGCCAGGTACGATCAATGCAGTTTCAAGTCACAATTCCATGGCAGGTAGTGATATGCAAACTATAGATAATCTATACAACCAATTAAAAAAATAACTGCCGTTACGTTGCACATGAAGTACTTCTAAAAAATGTTTTGGCAAACCTTAAAATCTTGTTCCGGTGACCCTGAATCTCAAAGTGGACCGGCAGTGTGTAAGAGTGGGCATGGGACTGGGCGAGGAAAGCCCGCCAGCCGTGATGGAGCAGGCGGCGCTCTGGTTTCTGCCCCTTCTAGCGAGGAGAGAAGGGACCAAAGCGCCACACTTGCCACCGAGGTGGGAAAAGCCCCCGCTCTGGGCAGGATGCGGCTCTCTTGGCCAAGACGCGCTGCCACACCTGCGTCCACCTCCTTGGCCTCTTGCAAGGGGGCTGTGCGTTCGCTAAGAGAATCAGCCAGAGAAAGGGCTGATTCTGCACCCTTTCCTCCCAGGTTGCTCTTTCGCTGGGCTCTGGGCCTGGTCCCGAGTCTGCCTCCCGGGAGGAAGGGTTCTGACTTGGGGGTTCTCCCCAGTGTGCCCGCAGCCCGCTCCGTTCCAGAAAGGCCTTCTAACACCCTGCATGGCCTTCTCCCTGGGGCCGGAGGGGCGGCCTGGGGAAGGAGGCGGCCAGAAGTTCCCTGCCGCTGGTGCACTTGACCACACCGACATAAACTCTGGGCCCGATCCTGCGAGGCCAGTGAGAGGGCAAAGTCCCAGGTGGGGCCGCATGCTCCTGTGCTTGAGCCGAGCACCTGCTCCTCAGAGTGGTTTCCAGTCGGGTGGCCTCAGGCCTGGGCAGGGCAAAAGCCCTCCACCCCTTGCCGGCCCTGAGGCCCATGCCTGTGGGGCTGGCCGGGGGCACACTGGCAGGCAGAAGAGACGCTGCGCGGGGGGCCAGGCACCGAGGCACAGGCTGACGTGCCCTGTGGGAGAGGAGGGGCAGCCCCGCGGTCGGGCGAGGGTCTGTCCTTGTGCGGGAGGCAGACTGGGGGCACTGGCGTGGTTTCCGGGGCTCTGGCCTGCGATCCCGCCCGTCCAGGGCACAACAAGCCCCTTTGGCGGAACCAGGCCTCCAGCGAGCCCTCCCTGTCCCATGCGCTCTGACCACCAAACGCAGATCTAGAACATGGGACAAAAGGAGGACGGACGGACGGACGGACGGACGGACGGACGGACGGAAGGAAGGAAGGAAGGAAGGAAGGAAGGAAGGAAGGAAGGACGGCGCTTGTCCCCACTTTCCTCAACGGACGGGGTTTTCTGGGCAAGAGTCCAGGCAGCCCCAAGAAATGGCATGGCACAGCTAAAACTGAGGGGGATGTGGCAGGAGCACCGAAACCCCTTAAACGGATGGCAGGCCCCATCTACCGGGAACCCCCAGGCAAAGTTCCTTCCTGTCCGAGGAATGCACTGAAAATCTCCTCATCCAACCTACCTTTCTGAAGCTTCGCCAGGTGATCAAGCCACCGTCAGTCATGAGGACTAGAGACATGCTGGTGACTTCAAAACAGCACAGCTGAGGAGGCCCCACTTCTCTGCCAGCTGTCAATTCATGCGTGTGGTCGGTGGGACCAGACGTTTGCAGGCTTCCTACCGCTACAGAGCTTGCCAGGCCCGGCCTGACCTGGCCTGCTGGAGAACCCCCGGGCATCTGCTGAGGACCTCCCACATCCACACACGTGGAAAGCCTCCTGGGGCACATTCCAAGGAGCCCTGGCACATCCGAGAAGGGGCGCCCACACAATCTTCTCCTGTGGCTGTGGACTGGAAGAAAACCCCCTCCAGCAACTTCCCAAGGCAGCTTGGTATTTTGCCCTCGCAGAAGAATTGTTTAAAAACGGGAAACGCTTAGCTTTTTGGCAGGATGAAATGCTTCAAAGCCCACAAGCCCCCCCCTCCCCCCCGCACGAGGCCTTTGCTTGGATTTTGGAAGTGGGCAGCTCTTGCAATGGGATGGAAAACGCCACCCTGGAAAGTGGCTTGGGCAAACATCAGGCTCCCAGCCTTTCTGGGCAGGGAATGGCACCCTTCAGTTCTCTAAACATGCTATGCCGAAATTGTGCCTCTGCTGGCCAGGAAGGACAGACGAGCACTCTGTGGCCACCTCGATTTCTTGCAGTTAGCCTGCATCGCTCCAGCATTCTGCTTCCAACTTAGCCAACTGACTCTTCAAGCCACTTCCAACCCATGAGGGCTAGAAACTTGTGAGTGAAAAATAAATACTGATGCTTAATTCTGCCCTGGAAACCAAATGCTAGGCATACTGTGATCTCAGGTGCACACCAGCCTCCTCCTAGCCCCGAACCTCAGGACGCCTGGGGCTGACCCAGATACACCCGAGGCCAACCATCCCGTCCTCCTTGTGGCCATCCCATCAGCCCTGACCTTGGGGATCTGTGGCATGTGGGGGGAGGGGATCACCCAAAATCAGGGGGAGGAAGACTCAGCAAGCGAAGCCCTTGGCCTTGGGGAAACGGTCCCTGGCTCTAGCACCAACACGCTGGCTAAGTCCAGAGCCTGCAACCGAGCGCGGACTACGGTCGAGATGCTACGGAAACGACAAACGCACACCACTGTCCTACCTACGAAAGACACACGTGGAAATACTCGTTAAGGCTGCGATCCTGACAAGGTTCCCGGGAAGCGGCCCCCACCAGAGCCGGCGGACGGACCTCTCCGCAACCAGCCCCACGTCCTGCCCTCAGCGGGGCGCCACGAGCTGCGCTCTTGCGCCTTCCCTTTCCTCTCTCGGCGCAGCCCCAGAAGGCGGGAGGGGTTTGTTTGCGGCCTGCACACAGCCCCCAGGACCAGTGCGGCCCCGCCAGACCGCCTCTCGGGACCGGGCTTTGCCACGCCTGAGCCTCCGACGCCTGCTCCTCAGGAGGAGCCGCACAACCCCTTCCGGCCCTCTCTGAGCCCACGGCAGAAGGACGCAAGGTGTCCACAGCAGGCCACGTGTCCCCGCAGAAGCACGAGCTTCGCCAGGCAAGGAAAATTAAATGTAAGTCATGGCACCTTTGACATTCTTCTCCAAAAAGACTTCAACATAGGAGGTGGGGACATAGCCCTCCTCATCCTCGTTCCTCCGGATCCGCGTCCAGCCGTCCCCTTTATCTTCCTCGATGACGAACAGGGTCTCTCCTTCCGTTACAGAAATCGTTCCTTCATTTTGGCCTGTGGGACGGAAAGCACGGCAGGTCAGGGGCAGGCTCCCCCGGGAGCCGTTTCTGTCGGCTGAGACACGGTGCCCACAGACTGCCCCGTCCGCACGTCCCCTGGGCAGGGGGAGACTGCAAAAGGGCCGCATCCTGCCCCGCCCGTACCTTCGAAGGTGTACAGGGCCTTGCATGTTCCGATGGTGGGCAGTGGCTCCTCGTCGTCGAACTCGTCATCGAACTCCGGCGCGGGCACCTTGGCCTCACTCTCCTGGCTCGCCTCCTCTGTGTAACTGCCATCCGGACTGCTCAAAACAGAAAGAGACACAGCAACTAAAGCAACAGGCCGGGGGGCGAAGGGGCCGCAGGAGGGAGAGCGCGGCGAGCTGCCTGCTGCCCAAGGTCGGGCCCCCCATGAGGGGGGCCCTTCTCTTGCAAGGTGCCCTCTCCCCACAGCCCTGCCTCTCCGTGTGGCGTCCCGAGGGCCTGGAGGGGCCCTGCTGCCACTGGCCCAGAGGAGGCCTGCACCCGGCTCCGCCTCTCGGTGAGCAGCCGCTCCTGCAGGGCGGACACCTCGCGCGGCTTGCCAGGGGACTCTGTGGAGGGATGGTGAGTGTGCATGGCGCCCCCGCCACGGACGGCTGCAGGAGGGGCTTGCTGGGCACAGCTGCTTTCTGCGCGGCCTGGGGGAACCCTGCCAGGTCCCGGTGCTGCCGCAGAAGTGTGTTTTGCCAAGAATATTTTGTGGGCCGAGGCAGGGATGGGCTCCAGGAAGGACTGGAGGGATTTCCGGCCGTGTGTCACGCTTCCTTAAACCAGGCTCCCTGGCAGTGGCCCTCACAGGATAGCCGCCATGGTGGGGGCCTCCCGCCTGGAGAAAGGCAGCCACAGCGGGCTCTCATCTCCCTTCTGTGCCGGAAAGAACTCATTTTAGAACACGGAAATGAGGACCTGGGTGATGTGCTTTCCTCCTCCCTCCCAAGAGCTAGGGAGCTTTTTGTGCCAGGCCTTTCAGATCATCAGCCTCCAGGCAGTAGCTGACACTTTATGGATCCCAGTGAGCTGCTCTGGGGGCCTTTGCGGGACTGAGCAGCAGGATACGGGCTGGAACCAACCACCGCCCAGAGCGATCCTTTGGGGATCCTCTTCTCCAGCATGGGGAGCCCCTAATCCGCTGAGCTCCAGGGGTTCTGGGCAGCCCCCCGGCTTGTCCTCACTAAGTGAACGGAATTCTGGTGGTGCAGAAATTGTGCCGCCGTCTCCACACCTTACTGGGGAGTGTCGGAGGGATGCCGGGCGTTTTGGAGGCGCCGGCTGTTGGAACGGACGGCACTCACACAAACTGTACCTCTCGCGGTCCTGGGCACAGTTGTTGACGGTCAAGGTGTTCTGCGGGTCGTACATCCCGCTCTGGCGGCGCATCGTCTCGGGCCGTGCAGGCAGCCGGCCTTCCACTTCGGTGAGCCAGCCCTGCAGTGGAAGGGGAGAAGGGAGTCGTCCTGCACTGGAGAACTTTCAGGACCCTTGAACCCACAGGTCCCCCCCGAGGTTCCTCCTCTTGCGTGGTGGGTGGCAACGAGGGGCAGGGCCTTTTCAGTGGTGGTCCCCAAATGGACAAACCCCTTTCCCAAGCATGTTGCCCCCATCACCTGGCCCATGCTGCTGCTGAGGTGCCCAGTGAAGCTCTCTGGTGCCTTGCGTGGCCAAGGCTGAACAGTTTTTGATGAGGCTGGATGATGAGGTTTGCTGTGCAATGGCAGCAAGAGGGGAGCCCCGCCGAGGGGGGTAACCGGTGCAGCGCCGTGGCCAATGGCCTCCTGAATCCGGGGCCGGCCACGTTTCATCTGCCCTTCCCTGCATGCTCCACCTTTCTCTACCTGCCCCACCAGTCTTCCCCAGCCGGGCTGGGCAACCGCTCCGGAACCCCCAGCCGCTCTCCCTGCCTTCTCCCAAGTGAGGCTCATAAAGTGACTTTCCTCCGGGGGGCGGGAGAGCCTCCGATCCCCCCCTGCATCCCACGGACTGGCCTGGGACGTTCACGTGGGCCGGCCGCCTTTCCCAGGCCGCAGCCGCCGTCCCACCGGAGACGCCTTGCCCACCACCGCTGCCGATCCTTGCCTTGCCCCTCTCCGTGCCAGTGAGCGACAGATGCCTGATTTTTCACTCCCCCCGGGCGGGAATGCCCCTTGGGGTGCAAAGACCCAGCGGTCCCGGACGCACGCCCACCCTTCCACGCCCGGCCGTGCCCCCTGCGTGAGGGGCAGCCTCGCCGTCAGCACAGGAGCGCTGCACAGAACCCTCCTGGGGGAGCAGTGCAGGGCTGCAGGGGGCCGCCTTCTTCCCGCCAGCCTGCACCCTGGCCAGCGAGGGCCCTCACCCTGCCTCCTCTTCCTCATCACGCCCTCACTTGCTTGCCTGTCAGACGGGGGGGTGGCTTGCTCTGCTCCTCCCCGCCACCTTGCCTGGGCCAAAAGCAGGGCCCGGTGGGCAACCAGCCAGCTGCGCCTGCCCTGGGGCCCCTTCCTAGGGGCCTTGCTGGATGCCCAGGCCTGCTGACCCGGGTGCCGAGCTCCTCGCACCAGCAATTCGCCCCGTACCTCAAACTTCCGCGCCTCCTGCCGCAGCTTCTCGAGGTTGTGCTCGAGCTCGGCCAGCTTGTGGTCCACGCTGGCCGCGTCGCCCATCTGTGGGTTCTTGATGTACACGTCCTTCATCTTCGTCAAGGCATCCCTGCAGGGCACGGGGGCAGGGGGTGAGTCACGGCTGTGCGAGGCTCCCCCTCCACTAGCGTGTCCCCCAACACCTCGCAGAGAGCGCTTCCACGGGCGAGGATGCAAGGAAAGCTCCCCCCGACAAGCAGAGACTCCCCCCCAGCCCTGCAATACTGACCCCCCAGGCTGACAATACTGGAGTGGGAGCTCTTCTCTGCGTAATGGGGCCCCCACCATGGTCGCGCCACCCGCCCTCGCTTCTCCGGCCTCTTTGGGATCCTCCTGAAGTCCTCTGGTGATGGGGGGCTCCCATGTTTTTCACCCAATCGTCGGGTGTGGGAGTCTCCAGAGCCGGGGCTGGTGGCCGACCTCGAGTAAGGCCTTCCCGTAAGAGAGGACGGGGCGGCCGGGAATTTCTGACCGCGGCCAGACGCTTTTCGCTGGCCACAGGAGCATCCCCTGGACCAGAACGGTGCTGTTCCTGGTCTGCCGCAGGAGCGGCAAATTTGCAGCAGCCTTCGGCGCTTTCCTGTCATGCTGGGAGTGCCAGGCACCCGTGTGGCCTACGACCACCGGCTGCTTTGCAGAGCTGCAGGCGCCGAAACCGGAACATGGAGGCGGCTGCCTGCACCGAGCGGCGGCAAGGCAGGAGAGAGGCGGTTTGCGGCGTGGGGTGCAGAACCGCAGGCCTGGTGGCGGAGGTCTGGCCCGTGGGGGCTCCTCTGATGGCCCCCCCAGCCACCCACCGGGGGTGTGGTATCTTGGGCCCTGCCCCCAGCCCGTGAGAGCTTCTCCAAGAACCGTGCGGGGAGGGGGTGCGCGCCCCTGCCGCACCGCACACCTCTTTCCAGTCGCGTGGGAACGTCTACTGGCTCGAGCACCTTCTCATTTATCGGCCGGTGCAGAAAGCTCAAATGGAGCTCCGCGCCGACCGGTTCCCGCAGCGCAGGGGTGCGCAACCTCGTTTGGCTGGGGGCTGCGTTCCACTTCAGGTGCTCCCGGCGCTGCGATCCGAGGGTGCCCAAGCCAAAAAATAGCAGCCTGTTTCCAGATTTGATTGCCAGGAATAATTAATCTTAAAAAAATGTCTATCATGTTTCTCAACTACCCAGATACCGACCCTGCTGGGCGCATCACATGCATTAAAAACATGCATGAGACTATGGTAAAAGCATACATGGCCGGGGGGGGGGGGGGGGTGCAGGGCTCCCAGGGAGCTTAGATTTGGCCCCGGGCTGGAGAAGATTAAGGCGGAATCACTGCGGCTCCCCCAGAGTCTTGCCCTGAATAAATCCCACGGACCAGCTGGAGACAATGGGAACGCTTTGTCCTCTTGCGAATCCCTGGGGCGTCCGTGGGGGCGGGGGCTGAGGGGGCCATTTGGAGACATGTTGGTAAGCTTTCGTGCCCTGAGGGCTGCAGCTCTTCTTACATCTCTTGCGAACTCCTGCAATGCAATGCAATCCCCCGCAAGGGGGATTTCACGGTTGGGACCCCCTGACCTATTTTATCTCACAAGGGCTGGGGAAGCGCAGGGGGAGGAAGTCAGGGCAGGCATGACGCTAAAGCACGTCAATATATTCTGCTTGCAGGAGGTGAAGAGAGAGGACGATGTTCGCAGCCGAATGCACCCATTCATTCGCCCATCCGATGAGACTCCGGGATGGCGGATGACTCCTCGTGCTCAAGGAATTCCTGAGCTGCGCACAATTAACACACACAGATACACGCAGAAGACGGGATCTCCTTCCTGGAATGCCCACGGGGAGGAGAGGGACAGTTTCAGGAACAGCCCAAAGCTCAGGAGGAGCAGCGCCTGGCTAATCGGCAGCAGCCAGGAGCTCGGGGCAGCAGCCGCCACGATGCCAAGCACAACAGGCAGCCACTCTGAGCTTGCAGGAGCCACCAGGAGGGCGCACCGATTGAGCCAAGCCGCGGGGCTTCGGCAATCCTGGTCCAGCTTGGAAATCCTGGTCCTGATTGTTTCGGGCTTTGTCAGCAAGGCCTCAACCCCCGTAAGAAGGTCTTGTTTCCTGCTGTGTGTTTTGGTGAGTTAGTCTCAAACAGGCAATCAGAACAATTTTCTTTACTGGCAGCTGCTCCTGGTGGGTATGAAAACTCCCAGGGCTGGACTGACCCGTGGCCTGAGCTTCTGGACTCTTGCGGATGGCACAGCTAGAAGGTTGGTCTCCATGGGAGCCCGCTCTTCAAGAGGGACCTCCACACCACTGTGAACGGTCCTTTTGACCCTTGCCAGCCAAACTACAGTCTCTCTCTCTCTCTTCTCTTTCACACACACACAGAGGCAATAGCATTCTGTAAAAATGCATTCTACAAGCATCTTTGCCCAAAAGCATTCCCAAAAATCAACGATGGCAACCACAGCGCAGAGCCAAGGGGCACAGAAAAGGGGGGGGGGGGGGGAGACACGCACAGAGAAGAGAAGGCAAGGGGATCACATTCTGCAAGAGAATGTTCCAGAAAGACACAGTCCGCAAAAGCACTCCGCGTCACACGCTTCGCTCCGGGCTCCGGCCAGTCTTACCTTTGGTCCACCTCCTTCTGGATGTCCTTGTTGAGCTCGTCCACCTTCTGCTGCAGTTTCTTTCTTCTCTGCTCAGGGGGGAGGTTGCTGAAGTCCTCTGGTCCACCACCCTGCAGCCAGGAGGCGCCCGGCAAAAGGGGGGAAGGAGAAACGGGTGTGTAAATGCAAGCCCAGGAGTGCAGCGCAGTCGTTCCGCTTGGCCGTGCGTCTGCCTCACTAGTGCAAGCAGGAGAGGCTCTTCGAAGGGTTTTGTCCTCGCCACACGCAGCGGGGCCTGTTCTGGCTAACCTGGGATTTATTAAAGGCTGCGCTCGGTCCGACGCACAAACAGCAGCCCTTTCATTCTCGGATCAATGGCCACCGGCTTCTGGGGGGGGAGGGGGGTGCGAGAGAGGCCTTGTTGCCTTGGATGGACAGAACCATCCCAACACTGTGGGTCAAAGAGGTTGGTAAGGTTTTTTGTAGGGGCTCAAAAAGCAAAATCAAGGCCATATCCAGCTGGTCCTTCTGAGCTGGGCGGTGGCTGATAGTGACTGTGGGCCCTTTCGGGTCCTGATATTTGAGCATCCCTCGGCCCTGGTGGGCAGCTACGGCACACCGTCAGCCGGGGAAAAACAAAAACGCCCACCAGCAGTCGGACGGCCGCTGCCCGGTTTGCCCTCTCGCCCGACCAGTGCCGCCGCATGACGCATGGGCCAGCAGGAGGCCGGGAGGGACTTGTGCTCCCACCGAACTCCTGAGTGGGGGGATCCCCGTTTCTCCTCTACTGCAGGAGGCGCAAAGTTTTGGGGTTGATGGGCACATGAGGAACTTTTGGTAGCATTGTGGGCGCTCTCACAAGATGGCTGCTGTGGGGTGCAGCTCGCCCATTCACAAAAGCTCGCCCAGCTGCAGGACACTCATTTCCCAGATGGCAAGCAGGTGAGTTAAAGAAAAGTCATGTGTCCCAGGACGTGAGAAGACCAGAACAAGTGGGGTTTCGGAAGACGAGTACAGGGGGTGCTGGGAAGGAGCCTTAGCCCTGTATTTATCTGATTTTAAAACTTATGAAATAAGATCTGAAAAAATCAGGAGGGGGACACTAAGGAGCTTCGGTGACACCTTGGCACCCACGTGGTACCATTACCAGAGATCCTAATCTACCATCCTGAGAACGCTGTTGAGCTGTCCCAAGGTAAGGAGATGGCAAATACTTTCAGTGTGATTCCAGCACCTATCCAAGCATCGCATGGATGTTGCTTTCCGCCCCTTCCAACCGAGAGCAGAGCAGTGAACGAGCCCAGAGCGGCCCGGAATCCAGTTCAGCTGAAGAAGCTGCTACCAATCTGACGGCAAGACTGACGCCCGATGTCGAGTCTCCAGAACAAGGAACGCGGAGGCAAAACGCTTTGCTTCCCACGTGTAGAATATTTCCTGCCTTACCATTTTGCAGCAATCTTCGCCAGGGTTACCTGGGACGGGGCAGGGGGTTTCATGCCCCCTCCCGCCCCACTTTTGGAATTAAATAGAGTTAACCCTTTTAGTGAGGGATTACTGGATTCAGTGGCGGTGCCAGGTGCCAAAAAGCGTTCCGGTCCGCAGAGCGACACCGAGGCACTTTTGCACGTGCGAATTCACACGTGTCTCTAGAGGCCTGTGTCCCATCCTAAGGACAGCACTTTTTGTAAGGATTAAAAAATGGGCAGTGAAGGAGGAGTAGCAGATTTCAGGAAAACACCTTGGGTAGAAAGACTCAGAGTGGCATCAAGCAGCAGCAGGTGAGGTGCTGGAGGTGAATCCGACACACGGGGACCCTCGGAGCCCGTGGACGGCCGGAAATTTGGCACTCCGAATGAAAGATTCAGGCCCCGGCCCACGTGGGTGGTCCCCTAACACCGCCTCTAACCAGATTCCATTACAAGGTATTAGTCGTGGGACAGAGGGATTACGTAAGGCTGAAAAATGTAGCGTACTAGCAAACGAGGAACGCCAACAGTGGGCTTGGGAAGGGTGCAGGGTTGTGTCCAGTTGCCGGAAGGATCAGGGCACAGCCTGGTGTACGGCAGGCAAAGATCTCAGAGGGTTCCGTGTCACAGGGGCCAGTTGCCAAATCTGGGTCAGTCTCCAAACTTTATGGGTTGGTGGGCACAGGTGGAGTTGTGAGACATTGCAGGGACCTCGCAAAATGGCTACCGTAGGGTTGGGGCTCATAAAAAAGCTTAAGGAACGGAATATATTTCGGGAAGGGGATGTCAAGAGCGGTGCCGTGGGCACGTTGGGCAGGTTCCATCATGTGAATTTTCTGGGATCTTGTCTGCAATTTAGTGAGTCTATTGCATTGTTTCTTCCATTTTGCAACAAGCGCCTCCATAAAGCAAAACCAATTATTCTGCACACATTTCACACAGCAAAGGATCAGAGGAAGAATCAATCCGACTACATTTTTGCAGCCCCAGGTTGCAATTCCATTTTTTAATGTTTAAACCTAATAATTAAACTAAACTACTAAAATCAAGAGTTAATGTTTAGCAGGTCATTAGATGCATTAAACCTGGATCACCTCCATTAGATTCCAGACTTGCATATTCAAAGTTATCTGATAAATATCAAAGCAAAAAAATAAAAACACAAAAGACAACAGAAAACGTGAGTTAATTTCACGGCGGCTGCTTGGACAGGCGGCAAGTTCAAAATGTGTGATTTACGCGCGCAGGACAAACATGCTGCTGAGGTGCTTACCAACTTGAGAGAAAGCTTCACGGAAAAACGGAGAAGTGCGTGGCAAAGAGAGAGAAAGGGAGAGAAAAAAAAAGACAAGCATGTGTCAGAAGGAGCGGCACTCTGGCGCACCGCCTCCACGGTCATACTCAACGACGGCCATCAACACAGACATGCGCACTCTCCTCGCGTGGCTTGTGAAAATGGACACTGCTTTTCACGTGTCTGTGCCGAAGTTCACGAGGCTGGGCGGGGTGGGGGGCAAAAAGCAGCCCGAGCCAGGGAGAAGGAAGATACGGACTTCTATCAAACTTGGGAATCTGTTTATTATTGGCTGGAGAAACGGGACTTTGCATAGATTTAAATATGCTTTTAAGTTATCACAGATGGAAAAAGAAGGGTGTGGGGGCTGACCCAGCGGGCTCGATGTTTTTGATGATGGATGTTGTTTGTAGTTTTCTTTTTGTTTTTTTAGGAGTATAATTTCTCAAATAAAACTTATGTAAAAAGACCCACCAGGGCCAAAAAACAAAAGAGTAGCCCGAACCAGCTGCCATCTTGCCTGGGGACACAGAGGGGCACGAGTGGGACCCCCCTTCAGCCACAGCCCTGAGGTGGCAACCGGGACAGCTGGACTTGCTGGCAAGAGCCAGGGAAATGCCTCTGACAAACGCTCTCTTCTCGCTCTGTTCTAGAGCAGGCCAACTCATGGGCATTGGAGCCCCCTGCAGCAAGAGCCCAGACGGGGGCTCTTCTCTCCGAAACACCAGCTGCTTGCTAGCAGGGAAGCTGCTTGGGTTGTGTTTTGCCCAAAGTCCTCCAAAAATGCCTTTTCCAACCTGCCAGAGCGTGTTAAAGCGCACCCTGGCGCTCTGGAAACTGGCTGCAGCCCATCGCAGGCATCTGAAGAGACTTGCGGGGCAAACAACCCAGGGAGCGAAATGTGAGGAGGGGCCGCGCAGGCACTGGAAGGATCTGCCTTCGCCTGCCGGCCCTCCCAGACACAGCACTGGCCCTGCCTCGCCACCCTCCCCGTCTTGGAGGGCTCCAGACCAGCGGCCCGCCAGCGAGTCCCTCGTTCGCCTCCCAGGTGGAACAGGCTTGGAAGGCATCCGTACGAAGAGTCCCGAGACGGCTGGCCCCTGTTCACCCCACGGGCCCAGCACAGTTCGGGGCATTGTGAGACGCTTAAAGGGTCCAGGCCCAGGCCCTGGGGACGTGCGCCTGCAAGAAATCGCACGTCTCATGTTCTATCTGTGTACGCAAATGCAACGGCCGGGCTGAGCTAGACTCACAGGAGGAAAGCCAGCCAGGCGTTCCCTCATCCACAGGCGCTGCATTAGTCCCTCAATTTGCCCTGGCCTGGATCACCCCAAGCGAAGGGAAGGTGGACTCCTCTCCTCCGAGCTCCATCGCCTGCTCCTCCGAAAGGCTGGTGTGGGCGGCAAAGCGGTGAGCGTGCCAGACCGGGGCCTGGGAGATCCCAGCTGAAGTGCAGCTCAGCCCTGGCAGTCGCCGGGCGCCTTGGGGATGGGCCCCGCAGACCCTCCGCCCAGCCAACCTTGCAGGGCTGTTGCGTGGAGAAAGGGGGGGGGGGTCTCTCAGCACACTCCCAAGAGACCAGAGGAGTAACGCAGAAGGCACAGCCGGGAAGCTCAGCGCAGGATTGGAACCCGTGTCGTGGCCTAGAATCCTAGACTGGCGGAGCTGGACGGGGCCAGAAGGCTGCCGAGTCCCACCCGCTGCTGCCGCCGGCCACCAATTTGGGCATCCCCCTCAGACGGGGACGGCAAGCGCCCCACCTCTCCCCCGACTCCCTCTTCTCCCCCTGGTGGCCTGCCCCGGCCTCGCAACGGCCCAGGGCAGGGGCCTCGCCTTTTGCCCCCGTGGCTCTAGCCGCCCCGTGAACTTGAGCACAGACGCCACCGGCATGCCCACGTGGGTTTCACAGACATGGCACAGAGAGAACCAGTCCATCTACGGAAGCAGCCTACGGAAGGCACACAATGAGGATGCGGCATGCGCTACGGGCTGACGCCACTAAAGCCCAACCGCTTTCTACAGGCAGAGCTAGTCCGAGGCCGGGAAAATGCCAGCCCCAAGACTACCGTTTTGCTGTAAATTCAGCAAATGCTATGGGGCCGAGACAGACGGAAGGCGCCTATAGCATTTTTGTGGAGCAGGGAGCGGGGGGGGGGGAGGGATTGCGTGGGTGGGGGGATGTCTGAGGGGGCTCATGAGGGCTTCCAGGTGCTACGGCGACTAAAACAAAGCCTTGCTCGAGACCCCAGGAAGGAGCGCTGAAATGACGTCTGCGGAGGCAGGTTAAGAAGGAGGCTCGCGTCAAAAGGCTCAAGGGGAATTTTCCCGAAATGCAGTTCCACTCTCAGTAATAAACTTCCTCAGTGTTCCAAGGTGCTGCCCCTGCATGGTCTTGCTGCAATTTTGCCAGAACCCCCTAGAAGGCGAGGGGTGTCATCTCCTCACAAATGGGGAGACTGAGGCTGAAAGGGAAGGGATTGCGCAACATGCCTTGTGGGTTCACAGTGGAGCAGCACATGGGATCGGGGGCTTTTTGGTGTCCCCGTCGGAGCCTGCCCTGCCCTGCCCAGAATGCCTTACGGGGGCTCCACAACAGACAAGAGGATGCACAGTGCGCCCCCCGAAAGGGAGAAGTTTAGAAACACCACTGGTTTCAAGCTGCTGTCCCCAACCTGGTGACCTCCATATAGTTTGGATGACTACTCCAGGCATTCCTTTCTAATTTAAATTTTAGTTATTAAAAAGGTGAAAATACAAACAAAAAACTCCCCATATAATAAAAGGAAAAAGCTCCCAGCATTCCTGCCAGGGAATACTGGCCAGGGCTGACAGGAGGAAGCCCAAACTCTTTGGAGAGCTGCCCGACTGCAGAAAGTGTGAGTGGGCAACCCATGGGAACACAGCAAGTCAGAAGGGGTCTACGGGGCCATCTAGTCTGACCCTCGGCTCCTGCTGACTCTGCTCGTGCAATGTCCAACATGGCTGTCTGTCCGATCTCTCCCTGAGCACCCTCCCTGATGGGGCCTCCACCACCTCCCGTGAAGCCCGGGGCGCTCCTGCTCTTTCGCTCGCCAGCTGCTTGCTTCTCCATGGGACGCTCAGCGGTGGACGGCCCGGTGGGGCTTCTCACCCGCTGCAGCAGCAATTCAGAGCTTCGGAGGAGCGCTCTGTGGTGCTGGGTGGCATCCCCACCTTAAGTCTGCAAAGGCGGCATCAGGAAGTGCGCCTGCAAAGCTCAGAGCTGCAGCAGGCGAGTCACAGGAGCAGCTCTCGCTCAAACCTCTCCCATGGGAACCAGTGACCTAAACATGCCTCCCTGTATTCTTTAGTTTATTACGTCCTGCGGGCTGTTTTTCTGCCTGTTGCTTCTCTGCAGCACTCTGACTTATGAATCTCTGCAATTAAAGATGGCGCGACTCTTTGCCCAGGGAAGGAGGCTGGGTTACGGGGCCCTGGGAGTCTCCTCCGGACGAGGCTCTGATGAAAAGCACAAATCCCGGTCGGGGTCTCAAGGAGCCTTTCGCGGGCAGCAAATGAACGGTCTACGAGCCACAAGCCACAATAACACACGGGAGCACATGAGAAGCCAGCAAGTCTTTGTGTTATTGGAAAGTCACACACTGGAACGCTCACTCACAGCGGGCAAGAGGGCCTTTCCGAGACTCCGGGTCTGTTTTGGGTTTTTTTCCTCTTCTGTTTTGCTAGTATAAAGTTTGCTGTTGCTGCATATTAGCGCTTCAGATAAAGAGATGAACTGATCTGTCCCTGGAGCCTTTCATATTACAAGTGGTGGCGCAGCCGAGTAAGATGCACGGAAGAATCACGTGCTCTCCCCTTTTTACGGCTCGCTGCCATTCTCCCGAAAAAAGACCTCTCCAACTGCGAACCGCAAGGAACTGGCAACCACAGTGGAACCCTCTTATGCCTCTTCCTCCCCAGGAACACTCTCCCCCAGAACACGCACGGTAAAGGGTCTGGTCTTAGCAGGAAGCTGGGCTGACGGCTCAGTCCCACGTAGGGCCTTGCCTAGCTCGGTTCAAGCAGTCCTCCGGCCGGGATGCAGCCGTGGAGGGCAGCTCGGGGTGTCTGTGGCTGCACGCACGCCCGCTGCCGGCTGCCCTCCTGGTGCACGTGCCAGCAATCACAGAATCCTGCAAGGCGCCGACAGCCAGGAAATGCGGCAGCGCGCTGCTGAGCTGCGCCAAATACCTTCTGAGAACAAGCTACATTCGAATAGTTCCCCCTTCATAGCAGCCGTCTGCCCTTCCCCCAGCAGGGGTCTGGAGCAGGGCTTGGTGGGGGCCATATTGGGGGCTGCTGCAGCAGAGACCGAGGTGCATCCTCACTGCCCCTGCTTTTAAGACAAACCATAGTTTAGCAATATGGGAATAAGCTGTTGATTTGTGTATTGCTCTGTTGCCTCTCCCGGTTTGAATTAACAAGAGTTCTGTGCCATGGCTGACCTCTGTGTTGCACATGAGAGTCTGAACTCAGGGGAACTCTGGTTAGATTCAATCATGGTTTGTTAGCAAACCAGATTCCAAACCACAGCTGGATCCTGACTTGTTTGAACAAGCCAGAACTTAAAATCAGGGGTGGGCAACCTCAGAGGCTTCTTGAGCAGTGTAACGTTTGATTCATGCTGTGAAGCAAGGGAACAGATCCATCAGCCCTCTGGGGTCCTCCAAGTGGCCCCCTCCCTTCCTCCTGGCCCCACCCCCTTTCTCCCAACCCCAGATCATTTACTCATTTCCCAGGTATGGTGCAGTTCCCTCCACCATTCTAATAGGTCAAAAAGCTCCTTCAAAATTATGTTATTGGCAGTAACAGCTGCAAGCTTTAAAAGGCTGGGGTCTCTTTGGTCCACCCCTTTGCCTTCAGCCTCACCCAGCACCAGGATGCGGCCCCTGAGAACCAAAATGGGAGTCAGCTCTTCAGCTAAAAGACGTTCTGAACCTATGCTATAAGGGCCTGCAGGCCGCTTGGGTCTAGAC